GTGTGTGTTAAAGTTAAAATAATGCCAACATACATACGTAGATATATTTCTAAATAACCTACATATTTTTTTCTGGCAGTGCGTGGGCTTTAAGTGTTTCATTTCCCATAGAGAGCTGAGTTTGTTGAAAAAAAAAAGAATATTTTCTTATTCTAACATAGAATGTAGGTATTTCGGTTCATTCATTAATTTGTAAAACGTTTTCAGCTGCATATAAAAGGGTTGTCAAGCAATAAATGTTTGGGTAAACACTTATTTATATTTGTCATTTAGATGACAACTCACGGTGTGGTCAAATCCAATATTTTGTGACAAAAATGCGAAAAAATTTTTTCCTAAAATTTTTTTTAAAAATTTTGAAAAATAATTTTGAAAGAGAATATAACTAATTCATAAAAACGCAGACGAAGCGGCTGAACTAATATTGTGTCATGTTTTGTATACGCTTTTCTATAACCCAAAATTCCAATATGAAGAGCGAGTAAAGAGAGTAACTGTTGAGTTACTGAGAGATTGAAAAATGCTTACCAGAGAAATACACTCAATAAGTCTTATCCAGTAACATCAACTGATTTAAAAAATGATAACTTGATAATACTTTATAATAAGCATAATTTTTCACTAAAAACGCCATTTTGATTCCATTTTCTTAACAATTTTAAAGTGTAACGCATTCATTGTTCAACAAGTAAAAAAGCTGTAAGTTCAGCCGGGCCGAAATTTTAATTCCCTCCACCATTTAGTACAAATTTGACAATTTCCAAAAAAAAAAATAAATAAATAAATAAAATAAAATCCGTTAAAAATTCTGTTAAAATTGTAAAAATACGGAATGCCTATACGACGACGTGGACCTGAATAGGCAAGTTTTGTCATAAGTTATTACAATATTTAAAAGCGAAACTTGAAGAAAAATCTGTTTATAATGTAGCTAAAATCATCAAAACACCGAATATAGGAGGTACCGTTATATGGGGGCTATACGAAGACGTGGACCTGCACAGACAATTTTCTGACATGGGCTGAAGTATACATTACGAACTTCGCATGTGAAATTTGAAACAATCCCGGTAAATAATGTCGCTAAAATCATCAAAATACCGAATATCGGGGGTTATGGTATATGGGGGCTATACGAAGACGTGGACCTACATGGCCCATTTTCTGTTTTATGCTTCAGTATCTATTACGAACTTCAAATACAAAATTTGAAACGATTCCGTTAAATAATGTCACTAAAATCATCAAAAATACCGAATATGGGGGGGTACCGTTATGTAGGGGCTATACGAAGACGTGGACCCACCCAGATTATTTTCTGTCTTAGGCTGTAGTATCCATTACGAACTTCAAATGCCAAATTTAAAACAATTCCGGTGAATAATGTCGCTAAAATCATCAAAATACCGAATATCGGGAGGTACCGTTATATGGGGGCTATATGATAACTTGGGCCTACATGGCCCATTTACGAACTTAACCTGCCTACTGGCAAAATATATATGTGTGCAAAATTTTAGCCTTCTATCTCAATTTGTTCGAAAGATTGCGTGATTACAACAGACAGACAGACAGACGGACAGACGGACATGGCTAAATCGTCTTAGAATTTTACGCTGATCAAGAATATATATACTTTGTTGAGTCTGACATGAGTATTTCGAGGAGTTACAAACGGAATGACAAAATTAAAAAAAAATAGTGCTGTGGAGGGTATAAAAAAGCTATTTTCTAGTTAGATTTTATTGAATGTTGTTCGACAACTTTTGTCCCTGTAAACCTTAGTGAGTAATTTTTACCAGAAGAGTTATCGTACATACTTAATATTAAAGCCTAAACCACTGGATTTAATAAATATAGTGGGCATAACCCAGCTTTTCCCTCTTTTACATCTACATTTAAAATGTTCGAATTTACATTTCTTGAAATCCTTACGTTTACAGTATTTATTGTCTTCGAAAATATTACTGATTTCAATTCAAGGATTATTTTTGTGCAACATTTTTAACCGAGTTCTTTTTTGCAACAAATGGATAAAAAATCTTTTAGCGGGATCGTAACAAGTCAATATGTGCTAGTCAATATTATTTGTCTTTAAATTCTACTATAGGTCTTAGAATACATCAAAACTATAAATCTTCCCTAAACGCTATGCATTTATGAATATTAAAAAAAAAGAAAACACATTTTATGCCAAATTCTCCTACAAAGCATCAAAGTTCTCCTACAAACTGTCAAAGACAAAAATATTCTTCAGCAAATTTCATTAATTTTAGTTTATTAACAATTAAAAAAGCTGTAAGTTCGACCGGGCCGAACTTGGAATACCCTCCACCATTTCAAAAAAAATAAATAAAATCCGTTAAAAATTCTGTTAAAATCTTAAAAAATATCGAATGTGGCCGTTATACTAGGGGCTATACAAAGGCGTGGACCTTAACAGACAATTTTCTGTCTTAGGCTGTAGTATCCATTACGAACTTTAAATACCAAATTTGAAACAATTCCCCTGAATAATGTCGTTAAAATCATCAAAACACCGAATATCAGGAGGTGCCGTTAAATGGGGGCTATACCAAAACGTGGACCAACATGGCTCATTTTCAATACCAAACGTCCTGCAGACATAATGCACATTTGAGTTAAATTTTATGAACTTACTTCATTCGGAAGCTAGAGTGATTTCCACAGACGGACAGACTGATAGACCGACAGACGGACGGACATCGCTAATTCGACATAGAATTTTATGCTGATCAAGAATATACAGGGTGAGATGAAAAAATTACAACCAACTTCAGAGTGCATTCATTTCAAAGCCACTCGTCCGACAGCTGTTAAAATTATTCCCGTGACAGCTCATTATATTGTATACAAGCGTACCAAAGCATTTTGGTGAGAATTTACCAGAAAAAAGTTATTCGCGATGGAATTCACCGTGATAGTGTGATTTCTTTATATTTGGTTGGAAAACCACAAGTGGCTATCGTTAGAGTACTCCAGCATTTAAATGTGAATAATTCTTTTGTGTCTCGTACCATCGCTCGTTACCGTGATACTGGTAGCGTAGCACGACGTCAAGGAAACAAAACCAGTTAAGAAAGTCTTAAAGTCAGGCGGGGCCGACTTTATGATACCCTACACCACTTTGCTAATTTAGTAGAGCTCCGCATAACAATTAAAAGTTTTTATGGGAGAATTCAATCATACACGCTATGATTATAATTATAATTTAAAGTTCAAAAGGACTAAATATACCGAAGCATTTGTATCTTTTAAATTCGGACTTGAATTGCCCATTTGGTGCACAATTAATTTGAAATCGGATAAAGATATATATGAGAGCTATATCCAAATCGGAAATGATCTCGATAAAAATTTGGCAAAAATATTTCTGAGCTGTATTTCATGTATTTCCCTGAATATCGTTGTTACGGAGTGCATATTACGGCTGTGGGTAACAAATATAACAAATCGGATGAACAGTATATATGGGAGCTATAGCTATATCTGCACCGATCTTCACCAAATTTGACATACTAGCTTCTAGACTCAATTCGGTCGTAAATGCCAAATTCCATCCAATTTGAACAAATATTAGACGTTTGGTGCACAATAAAAGGTAAATCGGACGAATTTATATATGGGAGCTATATCCAAATCTGAACCGATTTCGATAAAATTTAGCAAATGTATTTCTGAGCTGAATTTGATATATTTCCCTGAATATTGTTGTTACAGAGTGCATTACGGCTGGACAAAAATAAAAAATCGGATGAACAATATATATGGGAGCTATAGCTATATCTGAACCGATTTCGATCAAATTTGGATACTTATTTTCAGGCCTAATTTGGTTGTATGTGCAAAATGCCATACTATTCGGGCAGATATTACACGTTTGGTGCACAATAAAAGCAAATCGGACGAAGATATATATGGGAGATATATCTAAATTTTCACCGATTATCTCCAATTTCAATAGGGTTCGTCCTTGGACCAAACAAATGATTTTTACAAAATTTCATCCGGAACTTTGGTGCACAATAAAAGGCAAATCGGACGAAGATATACATGGGAGCTATATCTAAATTTTGACCGACTATCTCCAATTTCAATAGGGTTCGTCCTTGGACCAAACAAATGATTTGTGCAAAATTTCATCTGGAACTGCGAACTGTACTTTGTTTACAAAAATACATGGACAGGACGGACGGATGGACACGCATAAATCGACTCAGAATGTGATTCTATGCAGATAATCAAAAGGAACTATGGGTCTATCTCGTTTCCTTTTGCCTGTTACAAACAAATGCACAAAGACATAATACCCTCACCTTGTGGTGTAGGGTATAAACAAAGACATAATACCCTTACCACTATGTGGTGTAGGGTATAATGATCGTGTTTACTTGCCAAAGAGGTCAGCTGAAAATGTGCACCTTCGGTTGGCCACCAGAACTCAAGCGCCGGCCACGGTGATGGTGTGGGCCGCCATAACAGATGATGGTCGCTCTCCGCTCGTATTAATCGACCGTGGCATCAGAATAAATGCCGGATATTATCGCGAAAATATTTTGGAGAGTATATTAAAGCCTTGGGCAAGCAAACATTTTGGCCAACAGGACTCAGCACCATCGCACTCAGCACGCGCCACCCAATAATGGTTACAAAATCAGGTACCTCGCTTCATTTCCAGCGCACAATGGCCACCAAAATCTCCGTATACCAATCCGTTGGGCTATTGTGTCTGGAGTATTTTGGAAAGAAAGGTTGGCACTAAAAAGCAGCGTGTGACGGTTCCATTGGCCGTTTGAAGGTCATAATTCGTGCCAAAGGTGACAAATCTAAACTTATTCTAAAATTTTGCTATTTCCGATATTTTTTGCATTCATTCAATGAAAATCTAAAAACTATGGCGTTTGACTTTGTTGCAGTCTTTTATCTCACCCTGTATGTTAATATAAATTAATTTCTACTTGTTTTCCACTTTCTTTCAGGATGCTGTGTCAATTATTGGCGGTGCTATAGGTGCAATGCGTATTCCTGAAAAATGGCTTCCCGGTCTGGTTGATTTCTATTTGAATTCACACAATATTATGCATGTTTTAGTTGTTATTGCCGTATACTCCATGCATATGGTAAGTTAGTTTAGATACTCTCTGAAATATTCAATTTCTATTTCAATCTCATATTTACCACTTCTTTTCTCTACTTTTATTTTAGGCTACCATCAAAGATTTCGAATGGATGTCGAACACAAATTGTGAGGCCTTTACCAATGCATCCAGTAAAGTATTGGAGTCAACATTAAACACCAATATAGAGCTATGACCATTTGATTTGAACACTTTGTTGAATTATTATAATCGTTTTATGTTTTTATTAAGTTTTAACAGTTGAAAAGGACACACCAGCAGCAACAACAAAGACAACGTTAATCGTAGCAATAATCTGAAGAATAAAATAAAAAATTATAAAAAAGACGAGAAGCAAGACCACAAATAAAACTATTTTGAGGTCATTTAAATAGTTTTTGAATTTTTTCAAAAAACAAACAAAGTAAAATTCCTCGAACAAAAAAACAGAAAATATTACGAAAATTTCAAAAACCAAAAAAATGAGAAAAAACGAGCAAAAAATAAGTTAACAGAAATATGTTTAGACAAATATTAGAAAAAATTTGAAAAAAAAAAAAAAAACAATAATTATTTATTATATTTTATTTTTAATTCTTCCTCTTGCTCCAAAATGAAAAAAAAAAACTTTGAGAAAAACAAATACAGAAAATATGGAAAACTTTTAATTTCCACTACTTGATATCACAGTTTTGGAAAATCAACATCTCGGAAATATAACTCTTGATGAGGGGTTTTTCAGGGAAAAGTTCTTTTGGAAATGAGTTTTCTTGTAGGAAAGTTGATAAATGGGGACTTTCAACATAGGAAAGTACCTCCAGGTTGAATTTTCCTTCGAACAATTTCATCAAGAGTGATTTTTCATAGTCATCAGGTAAACTTTTATTTTAAAATTGAATGCAGTTACACAAAAATTTATCAAGGATCATGTCGATGAGGTTGATTTTCCACGAAAACACCAACACATTTACACAGATACACAACTGAACAAAAACAATTCTCTATATTTTGTTTGTTTCTCAAGCACTAATTTTTCTCCTCAAAGTTATTAACTTTATTTGACCGCTCTTCTACAAAAAAAAACTTAAAAAAATTAATACCAAAAAGTCTCCAAAGAAACTAAAATTTTCAAATTCTAAAATACCAAAAAACCAAACAACTAACGACAGTAACACAAAACCAACCAAAAACAAATTCTCTTCGACTGTGGTACTAAATATTAAGCTAAATACAAAAACAAAACAAAAACATATAAGAAAATCAATAGCAAAATAAATTGAAAACAAAACAAAAGAAATCAATACTTTAGACTTTAGAACAGAAGAAAAAAAACAAGCAGTAACAAGAAAATACAAAATAATAAAATAGTACACTTAGTCAACATTTGTAGAGTTTTCCAAATCAATACCGAACAACAACAAAAAAAAACAAAAAATAATTTTAGTAAAATTCAAATTAAAAGCAAAAAAAACAACAGCTACCAACCAAATACTCGTAGTTATAAAAAATATAATAATAAAGAATATAAGTTAAAAAAAAAATAAAGAATACTAGTCAACTTATTAAATATATATATAGAGTCTATATATATATAGAACGAATGTTACAAAAAATGGTTATTAAAAGCGATTACTAAGTAAAAAAACTATAAAATATTTTTTTCTTGTTATATCCTACTCCATAGATCACCAGAATGGAACTATGAAACTGTCCATAATTTTTTTCAGGGGAAAAATTGTCAGTTTTTCCTCCAGGTTCTCAGTGATGGTGAATTTTCCTGTAGAAAAGTTCATTGACGATGACTTTTCCCATAGAAAAGTTCACCATTGATGACTTTTCCAATAGGAAAGTTGAATTTTCCTATGGAAAAGTTAATCAATGATTAATTTTCCTATGGAAAACTTAATCAATGATGACGTTTCCAATAGAAAAGTTCATCGACGATGACTTTTCTAATAGAATAGTTCATCGACGATGACTTTTCCAATAGAATAGTTCATCGACGATGACTTTTCCAATAGAAAAGTTCATCGACGATGACTTTTCCAATAGAAAAGTTCATCGACGATGACTTTTCCAATAGAAAAGTTCATCGACGATGACTTTTCCAATAGAAAAGTTCATCGACGATGACTTTTCCAATAGAAAAGTTCATCGACGATGACTTTTCCAATAGAAAAGTTCATCACCGATGACTTTTCCAATAGAAAAGTTCATCACCGATGACTTTTCCAATAGAAAAGTTCATCACCGATGACTTTTCCAATAAATTTGTTCATTACCGATGGCTATTCCAATCGAAAAGTTCATCACCGATGACTATTCCAATCGAAAAGTTCATCACCGATGACTATTCCAATCGAAAAGTTCATCACCGATGACTATTCCAATCGAAAAGTTCATCACCGATGACTATTCCAATCGAAAAGTTCATCACCGATGACTATTCCAATCGAAAAGTTCATCGACGATGACTTTTCCAATAGAAAAGTTCATCGACGATGACTTTTCCTATAAAAAGAGTAATCCTCATGGAAAATCCTTGCAGTAGGATATAACACATTCGGTTTTGACCGATTTTTGCCTTTATCAGTTGTTATTTTTGAAAACATTATAAGATTATAAACAAAACTAATAGAAACGAACTACTATAGAATGAAAACTAAGGAAATGAAAATGAATTGATGGATATTTCCCAATTTCAAAATTAAATTATATTATTCAATTTAGGATCCACAAAAAAAATTATATTAAGAAAAGTTTAAAAAAGAAAACAATTAAAAATTCTTCAAAGCGCAATTACAGCTAAATTTCCAATAAAAAAAATCAACCCGTTTATGCTTCATTATTATGCCATTTAACAATTATATATAAATAATTATAATTACTTATTTATCTATATCAAAAAAAAAAAAAAACAATTGAAAACAAAACTAATTATTTTTTTTTCTTATTTAATAATGCAAGCAAATCACAATACAACAAGAACAAAAACCTACGACTAAATCAATTTAAGTTAATTTCGAAACAATGCATATTTAAATTTAGAGCAATTATTATAAAATAATAGCAATTATAATTAATACTATTACTAAAACAACAACAACAACTCTAATGCTAATACCCAAAAAAAAACAAACAAAAATACTATTACGAGTACATACGTATTTCTTACATTATACCTCATTAGTTATAAGTATAACAAATTGTACACATACATGCATACACACACACGAACACTCTGTAATACAAAAAAAATGGTTTTACATCACGACACTTTTTACATGTGGACATACATAATTGATACAATATGATTTTAGGAATCGAAAAATTAGTAATGAAATATGTTGCTGTTGGCCCCCACGAGATATAACAATCTAAATAAGTGTGGGGCGAACATTAAAATAACACTTTAATTGATAATTTAAAAGTATGGATTAACATTCTATAGAAATCATTCATGCATAGTTTACCTAATGTCCGTATTCAATAGAGAAATCTGTGTTTTCTTTTTATAATTTGTTATACATGTGTTTGTAAAAAAAGCGTAAAACTAAATTACATTTTTAATTTTTCGATATCCAAATTGAGAAAAATAACTGTTACAAAACTACACTTTTACACCGAGCCTAGTACATAAACCACTCAATTTGACTTCAAAACACTCTCTCTCTCTCTCTTTCTCTCCCTCTATCAAAAGTGGAACAATTTAATAGAAAATCTAATAGATTTCATTGAAAATTATTTAAAAGCAAAAGTTATAACACAAAATGATCCATATTTAATACAAGGTAACAAACAATTGTTAGTCATGAACTAAAATTACCAAAAAAAATAAATAAAATAAAGCAAAAATAACAAATATAAATGATTTCAAACACAAAACAGCGCAATAATATTCAAAATCCACAAATAAGTCAATAAAATGAAGAAATTCTAATAAAGAAAACATAAAAAATAAGAAAAAGCAAACCAAAAGTTTTTTATTCGTTGAACAGGGCAGGTAAGTACTTATGATGGCGAAGTGTTGAGGTGGAATAAAACATAACAACGTTTCGGTTATTGAAAACTTTGACCCTTTGTGGGGGAGGTACTAGAAGGAATGGTCCAATCTCTACCGCCTTTACAACAGATCCTGTGTTGATAGAAATATTATATCGGATATTATCGGAATATTCGAATCGGATATTAATTTAACGTTTCGACCTTTTGTGGAGGAGGTACCAGTAGGAGTGTACCGATATATTCTATCTTAGCACCATATCTTGGGTTTATAAAAATATTAGAATGTGTGAAATTTGAAGATAATCGGATTCTTAAATCACATTTTATTTGATAATTATTCAAAATGTAAACCCATTGTGGGGGAGGTACTTGATGGAGTGGACCGATATTGTCCATTTTCGCACCTGACCTAGCACTAACGCAAGTATTAGGATTTGGATTAGGATTGGATTTCCCTTTTATGTGCAGAAAATTTCGACCCTTAGTGGGTAGAGGTACAAGAAGTAGTGGACCGATATATTCCATCTTAACACCAGACCTTGCTTTAATAAAAATATTGGGATGTGTGTGTTTGAAAACAATCAGAATCTTACATCACATTTTATAAAAGTTATAATTATTCAAAATTTTAACCGTTTGTGGGGGAGGTAATTGATGGAGTGGACCGATATTGTCCATTTTGGCACCTGGCCTATCACTGACGCAAATATTAGGATATGTAAAGATGGAACAAAATCGGGTTATCGTTTCTCTTTCTGTGCAGAAAATATATTTTTGGAAAATTTCGACCTTTTGTGGGGAGGTATCAGAAGGAGTGGACTGATATTGTCCATCTCCGAACTCAATCTAAGTCTGACAAAAATATTACGGTGTACCAAGTTTGGACCAAATCGGATACTCCCTTCGATAGTTATCGTGCGCACCAGCCAGACAGACGGACGGACATCGCTAGATCGCCTCCAAATGGGTCTCAAACCTTTATTTCGATGAAAATACTGCAACCAAATTCAGACTGCTGTAATTTCGAAGCCACTCGTCCGACAACTGTTAGAATTATTCTAATGACAGATCATTAGAGAGAGAATTTTTTGAGAATTTTCCAGAAAATAAGTTATTCGTGATGGAATTCAAGCGTAATAGTGTGATTTCTTTATATTTGGCAGGAAACCACAAGTGGCTGTCGTTAGATCACTCCAGCATTTAAATGTGAATAAATCTTTTGTGTCTTGTACCATCACTCGTTACCGTGATACTGGTAGCGTAGCCAGACGTCAAGGAAGTAGACGGAAGAAAACAGCAACATCAGCAGAAATGGTTCGAAAAGTAAAGAAGCGACTTGATCGAAACCCGTGTCGCAGTGGCCGAAAAATGGCTAGTGAGCTGACGATATCGCAATATTCCATTCGGCAAATATTGAAGAATGAGATCGGAGTAAAGCCTTTGAAATGTGTCCCGATTATTTTGGCACTTAAAAATACCAAAATGTCGATCACCTCAAGCAAGCACTTCGTTGGGAATGGGCCAAAATACCGCAGAGCAATATTCGGGCAGCGTGTGACGGTTTCATTGGCGGTCTGAAGGCCATAATTCGTGCCAAAGGTGACCAATTCGAACAAATCTAAAATTATTCTGAAATTCAATAAAATAAAAGAAATAAAAATTCTGGCGTTTGACTTTGTTGTATTTTTTATCTCTCCCTGTATACCCTTTCTAGCCAAATGGCTGGGGGTATAATAATTTACTGCACTGAAAAAGAACATTGCAAATCCCAATATTTGCATCAGTTCTAGGTCAGGTGCGAAAATGGGCAATATCGGTCCACTCCATCCAGTACTTTTCCGGGCATAGGGTCAAAGTTTTGAATAATTATAACTCTTATAAAGTGTGATGCAAGAGCCCAATTGTCTTCAAATTACACACACTACAATATTTTTATTAACCAAAGGTCTGGTGTGAAGATGGAATATATCGGTCCACTCCTCACCCATTTTTAACATTTTTCAACAATTTTTACAAATTTCAATAATTATTATAATTAGATTCAATAATTTCAATTCCAATATTAGTTTGACATTTCATTGTCCCAGCAGCTGTGTCGATGCGACTACCTGTATTCTTCTACCATGACACGGGCTGAACACAGCTATTTCATTTAAATCTGCGCAAAAAATCAACCCTGATCACCCACCAAAAATGTCAAAACAACCCAATGTAAACAAATAATTATTGATTTTATTTCGAGTTTGTGTCTTTGTGAGTTTAGTTTGTTTAGTGCGATAAGGTTCAAAGATCAATCAAAAATATTAAATTACTTAGATAAAATGGCCTATGACACAGTGGAAAAATGTACAGCACCATCAGAAGGAAACGGTGATTGGAATATTTTGTATTGGATTTTGGGAACTATTTGTATGCCGGTCGCAGTGCCACTGGTATTGATTAATCTATGGAGACGTTCTTTGGTGGCTAAACAAAGAAAATGTTTGCCTGGAAAGGTCGTGCTAATCACGGGGGCCTCTTCGGGCTTGGGAGAAGCATTGGCTCATGTCTTCTACAAAGCTGGATGTAAAGTAATTTTGGCAGCACGTAGACTAAATGAATTGGAAAGGGTGAAAAAGGACCTAATGGCATTGGAAGTGGTAGGAGTTAAACCAAATTATTTATATTGAAACATGTTTTTTTATTTCTGGTCTCTTACAGGTTGGTACTGCCTATCCTCCCACAGTAATGTCATTAGATTTGGCTGAGTTGAATGCCATACCGAAATTTGCCAATGACGCCATAGCTATACACAATGGAATTGATATTTTGATTAATAATGGAGGGATAAGTGTTAGAGCTGAAGCTATTTCAACTGCTTTGGATGTTGACTTGAAAGTAATGACAGTAAATTATTTCGGTACCGTTGCCTTAACCAAGGCTGTACTACCTTCAATGGTTAAAAAGCAAACAGGCCATATATGTTTTATAAGTTCAGTGCAAGGAAAAATTGCATTGCCGTATAGGTCTGCATATTCGGCTTCTAAACATGCCTTACAAGCATTTTCCGATTCTCTTCGGGCCGAGGTAGCATCTAAAAGATTGAAGGTCACATGCTTTAGTCCAGGTTATATAAAAACTCAGTTGTCCGTAAATGCGTTGACTGCAAGTGGACAAAAACATGGAAGTAAGTGAATGTGTTTGGTACATATTCAGATTTTCTAAATAATCAATGTTTTTTTGCAGAAATGGACAAAGCCACATCAAAAGGCATGTCAGCCGAGGAATGTGCCGCTAGTATTTTGAAATCATTGCTGGGCAATGAAAAGGATGTTATCATTTCAGATCTCCAAGCTAAGGTTGGATTTTGGCTGCGCTTTATATGCCCTCCATTGTACTTTTGGATTATGGAAAAACGAGCCCTTTCAACGGTAAAGGAGGAATAAATTATTACCAATTATTTAGTCAAAATAAGCACAACTATATATTGAAATATATGTAATTTCACAAAATTTCGGAACTTTATTATACATGTTGGTGTTTTTCTTTTCTTTAAAAATAACAAAAAATGTTCAGTTCTTTTGAAAAGAAATTATTTTTAAAATAAAGAGAAAAAAACAAAAAATTAACACAAAAAATAACTTTTCACGAAATGAAAAAAAATATATATTAAAATAGGGGACATAATATTTTAGACAGCTGCTAGTTATAGTCTAGTTTTTCTGTTATGGCTGCTAGTAAGGCGTCTATATTGCAACAGGAAGCATTCGATATGTTCAACCATTTATGATGATTTCTCATTTATGTAACAAATTGTTCTTTTACTTTCCGTATCATTTCCTATTTCTTTGGGACATGTTTGCTTAAAATTTTAAATGTATTCTTATCTAAAATATAACTTAAAGCGGCAGCTACTGTTGTGGCCCCAGTCAGGTACCACAGACCATGTAAGGCAGTGTGATCTGTATCAAAAAAAGAGAATCATTCCAATTTTTTATCTCAGAAACTGATATATCATCTTACCTAAATATCCCCACATTGGTGCTCCTAAACTAATGCCAACGGCTGCTAATTGCACTCCAGTATTAATTTTACTTATTAGGGTTGGTTCCAACTGAGCAGTAACATGTGTTGCATCAAAATAACGGGAGAAGGTCCGCTAGAAATAGAATAATAAGTAGTTTAAACATTTTCAATTCAACTTATTTAAACACTACTTACTGGCGGTGGCAAACTAATATAGCGAATAACAAATCCCGCAGCAATCAGAAAAACATCACGGAACAAAATAGTGCCAGCCAACCACAGGGGCAATAAATCACAGTAGCCCATTGATATAACCAATGAACCCATGAGCACTTTATCGGCAGCAGGATCTAGAAAAGAACCAGCCTTACTTGCCTGATTTGGCCATCTTCGAGCTATTTGTCCATCAAGCTGGAATTGGATATAGATTTTACGAGATCGTTAAGCATTAACAATTGTGGAACAACCTACCAAATCTGAAATACCGGCCACAACCAACAAACTTATGGCCAATTCATAATTCCCATCCACTATAACATAACCAATGTAGGGCGATAGTACCATGCGGCCCATTGTCAACATATTCGGTATGGTCATGATGTTCTCCCTTTCGACCTCTTCCATTTTCTCACGCACCCTCTGTTGGACTTTATGGCGTGCCTCCCTTATATCCTCAGCTATTACATTTTTGCGTTCTATAAATGATTCCCGTTTCTTGTCGATTGCATCTCGAATATCATCAGCAATTTCATTTTTGCGTTCTATAAACTGTTCACGCTGCTTATCTAACACATCCTGCAGCATGTCACGACCCTTGAGGGTTTTCATGTGCAGTAATTGTTTTTTGCGATCGGCATACATACGCAAAGTGGCCACATCCCAATTACGATATTGATTAACATCCAGAAATGAAATGCGTATAAAACCGGTAGCAGCCGCATAACGATTCAGACAGTTGATAACAGCATTGGGCATGTGGGAACTATTGCCCGGCGAAACAAGTTCCGTTAAATTTTTAAAGCCACAGCCACGACGGGCCACTTGGCGGAAAACTGTGACGGGCAACATGTTGGGTAATCGTTGCTTAAGGAATCACGGGTATAAGTGTTTTGGTTGAAATTGTTTTGAACGGAAGGAAATAAATCCGAACTTTGCTTTAGCTAGACCTTGAACGAAAGAATAATTCTATTAGAAAAAGCATGTTTATCATAATTTCCAGTGTGTTCTATATTAAATTATCTCTGTTGACCACTGGTCGATTTGACCTTTTGAACTGTTTTTATTTTAAAAACCCTGTTTATTTTGCTTTCCGTTATTACCATTTGAAAATGTTTGTAGGAACGTGTGTCCTGTATTTACAAACAACGTCCTTGAAAGTTTAGAACCAAATAATAAATTATTTTAATTTTCACCCAATTATTTTTATTTTTGTCGGATTTCGAGGTCGATGCGGTACTAATTGTCGGCGACGGATGACAATTTTTGCCGGCTAATTTCCGACGCAGTAGAGAAAAATCATGTGAAAAACTAAAACCATGTTTACATATACACATGGTAAAGTCATGCAATCATATGTTTACATTTGTTTTCCAAATTATTCATTTGACAACATCTCATTGTCAAATTTATGTTTATAAATCCATTGTTTACACACAAATGTACAGAGAGGCTGAGCAGATTGATAGCTTCACGTTCTGCAGAGTGAATGAGGACGCGCCTACCAGAATAAAGGGGGCTGCCACAGTTCGCCGGATATATCCATCTTGTCCGCAGGTTTGACGAATGACGTAACATGGCAATCAGTCACTTATTTAGGTTCAGACCAGCCCCCCCCCCCCCCCCCCCCCTTATTGTCGCCATCAACAGACCACCCGATTCCATAGACTCTGGTTATCCATGCGAAAACCAATTGACAAGAATTCAGAGAATATACCAATCACCGCTTCAGATTCTGCCCAACCCATCTGATGTTCAGATAGCACATAGGTGTTTCCGGGACATCCTATGCCGTATACGATCTCTTTCAGCCGAGGAGATACCACTACATTTTACGTTGGAAGATGTTGCATATGTCATCAGAAGCGCAAAGTCATCCAAAGCGCTTGGTCCTGATGGAATCTCTATGGTGATGTTGAAGCAACTGGAAAATCTAGGAGTTGAGTATCTTACCAAGCTCCTCAATCTGTCGTTAGCCACCCTTATAGTTACCAATGCTTGGAAAATAGGCAGGGTGGCCCCGCTACTGAACCAGGCAAGGATGTCAGCAAAAGTGATTCATACAGGCAAATATCACTTTTGTCAGCAGTAGCAAAGACGCTTGAGGCTTTACTCCTCCCCAGCATAGGAGAGTGTCCCAGTAACTGATCATCAACACGGATTCCGGAAATTGCATACCACAACAATAGTTTTACACGTCATTTCCACACATGTCAGCAGAGGACTCAATCAGAACAGGCCGTGTGATAGACTTGATTTATCAAAAGCTTTTAATACAGTCAATCATGCCACACTGTTCGAGGACGTTGCACGCACCGCTCTCCGGCCAAGTTAGAAACGTTTGATTGTAAACTACATGTGGGGACGCCAGTCGTACGTGGAATTCAGAAACAAAAAGTCGAGCATCCGTAGAGTGAAACAGGGAGTTCCCCAAGGTGGGTAATATCTGTGGAACTTTATATACTTCACCTTTCTGACATCCCACATCCAGAAACAATAAAACAGTTCCCTCGTCCTTGTGGAACTCTGAACCTTATTGACATTTAAATTCTTTCTGATTTTATCATAATCTGTTTTACGTTATTTTCCCTCATATTTTAATTTACAGTCATGCTTTTTCTTGACAGAAAGCCGTATTCTGCCTCCCAAAACTATTCACCATCGAATCTGCTAGTGTAAATAACCTTTAAGAACAATTAACATAAATGCTCTGGTAAACACAGCTGACTTTCATATGAAAATCAGCCGGTATACGAAATTAATTGAAAGAGGACTTCTCGTGCAAAGCCATTTGCATATTGTTTTAATCATATTATTTTATTAATTGATTCTATAAGAATATTATTTCTAAATGTACTATTAACCATATCTACATTACAAAAGAGCCAGTAGTTACATTTTGGCATTTTGTCAGTAGCAACAAAATTACTGTGGCATCCAGAGACCACTTTCAGCAACTGGTCTTCGTAACTTATGTTACGTTATTAGTTAGTTGTTTGTAAATAAAATGTGTATTTTCTGAACAAATAAATCGAAAACGCTAAAAATGTTTTGCCTAAAACGTGTCAGTATTCCGTTAAGATTACTGCCCAACTACATCGGCGACAAGTCGCTAGTGATTCCAAATACAACAGCTGCCTTTTTACATACCTCGCCAGTATGTCACACATTTTGGGAACGTGAGAAAAAATCGGGATATAAAACTGCCTTGCCGGAACCATCGAAGAAGCAAATGATCATGGATGGCCTCAAAGAGCTGAAAAGTGAAATTAATTTGTGGAAGGAAGAAATGAAGGAGAAGTTTGAATCCGATCCACTGTTGGTTTTTCGTCCAGGTGAGACGGATATTGTTTTTAATTTCAAAGATAAATCCTCGCTAGATAAATGGGTGGTTACCACCGATATGGATCACAACGAGGGTAAGAGTACAGCTAAATTGGAATTGAGTAATTCCGGTGCGGGTCTATTTCATGGTGTTGTCAATTCCGAACACATTAAGGATGGTGTGATCAAAAGAACCGGCTATGCCAATATAAGGACGAAAAGAGTTAGGGTAAGTAGCATGTATGATTTTTGTTTATGTGAGAAACTAATAACAAAAATTGCTTATAGAAATCTTTCAAACGCGAAGCTACCTACGATTGGAGTCAATACAATATGTTGGTCCTAAAAGTGCGTGGAGACGGTCGTAGTTATTTAATTAATCTCCATTGTGAAGGTTATTTCGATTTGATGTGGAATGATGTATACCACTACGCTTTATACACCCGAGGTGGACCACATTGGCAAATTGCGAAGGTAAACCATTTTTATTCTAAAATTTATAACTTTTATTTTAAGTCTAAATTTTTTTTCAGATACCATTTTCGAAATTTTTCTACTCATCAAAAGGCCGTGTACAAGATCGACAACAGGCAATACAACTAAACCGTGTAACACATTTTGGCTTCTCCGTAACGGCTAAAAACGGCATGGATGGTCCCTTTAATTTAGAAATCGACTATGTTGGTCTAGAATTTGATCCCAGCCATCATGAAGAATTTGCCTATGAAATGTATACAACTCCGAAATACATTGTTGGTACATAATTTTTTAAACCCAAAGGTAAAATGTTTGTAAATTTTTAGGAAAAAGTCGTGTCGAAGTTGAGATAAAATAAATTTAATAAAAAATTGTTTTTGTTTAAAAGCATAGTTATGTCTTAACTATTTTATTGGAGAAGTCTTTTTGATTTTGATGAAGTTTAGCCCATTTTGTCGTTATTTACTTTTAAAACTGTATGGAATAATCTGTTATTTAGAAATAGTCGAATAATTTACTTAAAAAGTATGTTATAGATTACCAAAATTATAAAAGTTTATCCAAAAAGTTTTAATGGATTATATGACCCACAATTGCCGATTTTTTTAAATATTTTATCTGTACGCTATTTACAAAAAATCTGAACAGATTAATATAAAATAAGTGGATGCTTTCTTAATTATAATGGGCTGTGTGTTGGTTTGAACCTAGTCATAAATGATTAACAAACAAATATCTAACCTTATCAATGGGGAGGTCACAGCTTTGCATGCAAAAAAATTGCTAAGGCGGTATGACATTCTTCAGCTCATTGTGGGAACGAAATACTATCTGACAATCATGTTTGTTTAAAAGAACGTATTTTCTTCGTTTTGCCTTCTAGCTTTACTAGTTTCCCAGGCATGGAAACGGTGTTAAAGTAAACAATTGCAAATAGTACAGTGTATAGGGTGAGATAAAAAACTACAACAAAGTCCAACGGCATAATTTTTATTTGTTCTTAAATTTATTAAATGAAAGCAAAAAATGACGAAAATAGCATCAAATTTTAGAATAAGTATAGATTTGTTCGAATTGGTCATCTTTGGCACGAATTATGGCCTTCAAAAGACCAATGAAACCGTCACACGCTGCCCGAATGTTGCTCTGAGGTATTTTGTCCCATTCCCGGCGAAGCGCTCGCACCATGACCGGCGCTTGAGTTCTGGTGGTAAACCGAAGGTTCACATTTTCAGCTGACCTCTTTGACAAGTAAACACGATAATTTGTTTGTTTACAAACTGCTGGACAACGAATGTTTTCTCATCGGAGAAAATCAGAAATCAACCACTTTCGGGCAAACGTAGCAATTCTTTAGCTCTTTCGAGTCTATTTTCTTTCAGTTGCGGTGTAAGTTCTTGCACTTTTTGGAATTTCAATGGCTTTACCCCGAGCTCATTTTTCAATATTTGCCGAATAGAATATTGCGATATGTTTAGCTCACGAGCGCGTGTTTCGATCAAGTCCCTTCTTTCGAACCATTTCTGCTGATGTTGCTGGTTTCTTCCGTCCACTTCCTTGACGTCGAGCTATGCTACCAGTATCACGGCAACGAGCGATGGTACAATATACAAAAGATTTATTCATATTTGAATGCTGGAGTGCTCTAAGGATAGCCATTTGTGGTTTTCCAGCCAAAAATAAGGAAATCCCACTATCACGCTTAAATTCCACCACAAATAACTTTTTTTCTTAAAAATTCTCACAAAAATGCTTTTTTACGCTTGTAAACAATATAATGGAATAATTTTAATTTAATTTTATAATTGTTGTCATTGGAAGAAGTTTAATAGCTGTCGGACGAGTGGCTTAGAAATGACAGCAGCCTGAGGTTGGTTGCAGTTTTTCAATCTCTCCCTGTATATAATTTATATATAAATGGCCTACTCGCACGGAGATTCTCCCATTGGCAACCCTGTCTAACAGCTGTCTCCTACAAAAATAACAAAAACCGTGTTTGTTTTTAATTTTTTGTTGTTGTTCTTATAGAAACATGCCTTCATAACATACAAAAGTTATAAACTTTTCTTTTTTTGCTAATTAATCAATTGCTCAGACAAACAAGAAACAGCAACACTACCACTGGGGGTGCAGCGAAGCAAAAAGTTATTTTACACATTCTCTTGTACAACCACAAAATATAGTTGTATTTTGAAAGCGCTGGTGGAAAGGTAAAGCAAGCAACGGTGCTGCGGTAGTTACTTATTCGTCCACCGGAAAAAGTAAACATTTCGGAATAGAAAAAGACGATAAAAATCCACATATCTGCAACGTGGAACAGTTTTTATCTTTATTCGTTTCTCTAGGAGGGTGTGCTGCTACATGGCGGAAATGGTAAGTGTTGTTATCATTAAAATGCTAACAAATTGATACCATTTTTTTCTTATTTTTAGTATAAGTAATATTTTACTTCACGTTTCAATTTAGATAATGTGTTATGGCAAATATAAATAATAATAAAAAAAACAATTTGTGTAATGAGCATTTTTCAAATTGCAAAATCTTTTTGAAGATTAGCTTAAAATGTTGTTTTCGACGATGGATGCGATCATGAAAACTAGTTCTAATTCTTAGGACTTATTTACGTACTAAAACGTCTTAACCGTGTTTAAACTTTAATCTTTAATGAATTGTTTCTATGGACTATCAGAACTATATATATATATGTAATATTTTTAAAGGCATTTAATGGATATAATGGTGTAATTTATGAGGAGATTTTTATAGACTAAAAGGGTTATATTTGATTCTTTTTTAATGAATCAGACATCTAAACTTATACATTTAGCAATTTTTTTTATGAACATTAACAACAATAGTAGATGACGAAACTTTTTTTATACTAAAGGGAGGTAAGGAGTATTTTCCACTTTTTTATTTACCATCTCAGACGCATGAAATAATATTAGAAATGCTTTTCTAGACTAATCCTATTCAATTCCAATTCATTTACATTTAATAACATTATTCAATACAATGAAAACAACTTTCTAGGAAACATTTTTGTGTTTAGAGCCTATATACAGGGTGAGATAAAAAAACTGCAACAAAGTCAAATGCCATAATTTTAACTTTTATAGCATGTTTCCATTGTAAACCGAACAACGTTGTTCGCTCTCAGAATTAAGTACACGAATTAACCCGTTCATACGGCACGATTCGTAATTCATAGTAAAATAATTCCTTTTTTCAAAAATTTTGTTTGTTGATTTTAATGGGAATTTATACGAAAATTCATGAAATTCTCACTAATATGAATATAAGAAATTATTGTTTTCCTCCCAAAGATTTATTATATCATTAATTTTACAATTTTCATTCACGATTTCAACTTTTTGTGTAAATGTTGACATTTTGAACACATTTTTGTGTTTTTCCATTTTTAAATTCTGCTGGAGAGACACTTGTCAAACATTTTTTCTGCCGATAGAAACATTTTGAAAATGTTGCCCCCTTTGTTTGCGTTTTCTGTGGAAATTTTAACCCGTGGACAAAATGCGTACCTCGAATGAGAGAGAAAACAAAATTTACTTTCGTTTGAATGTACATACACCATTCAACATTGTAGTTTTCATTCATAATTTTCAGTCTTCCCAAAAATTTTTAAAATTTCATCAAATTTTTCTATTTTTAATTTTTAAATGTCATAATTTATTTGTTCGATAAATGCTCTCATTTGTTAGGGATGGGACATATTTTTTCGTTGTTCTGAGAGTGATTTGATTTGAACAACGTACAAATATGAGTGTTCGCTCAGGAAATTTTGTGTGAAGAATTAGGTAGTTTTTTCATAGTTAAGGGTCAAATAACGAATAGAGAGCGAATCAAGTGCAGTGGAAACGCCACATTATTTTAAATTTTATTGAATGAAAGCAAAACATGTCGGAAATAGCATCAAATATAAGAATAAGTTTATATTTATTCGAATTGGTCATCTTTGGCACAATTATGGCCCTCAAACGGCCAATGAAACCGTCAATGTTGCTCTGCGGTATTTTGTCCCATTCTCGGCGAAGCGCTTGCTAAAGGTGATTGACATTTTTAGTGCCAACCTTGCTTTCCAAAATTTTCCAGACAATAGTCCAATGGATTGGTATCCGGAAATTTTGTTGTCCATTGAGCGCTGGAACCTCATTTTTTTTTGGGTAGCGCGTGCTGAGTGCGATGGTGCTGAGTCCTGTTGGAATGTCTAAGTTCTGCGGCCAAAATGTTTGCGTGTCCAAGGCTTTAATACACCCTCCAGAATATTTTCGCGATAACATTCGGCATTTATTCTGACGCCACGGTCGATTAATACGATTAATTCGATGGCGCCATCGGCTGTCATGGCGGCCCACACCATCACCCTGACCGGCGCTTGAGTTCTGGTGGCTAACCGAAGGTGCACATTCTCAGCTGACCTCTTTGGCAAGTAATCACGATAATTTTGTTTCTTTACAAACTGCTGGACAACGAATGTTTTCTCATCGGAGAAAACCAAAGTCGGCAGTTCACCACTTTCGGCCAAGCGAAGCAACTCTTTAGCTCTTTTGAGTCTATTTCCTTTCTGTTGCGGTGTAAGTTCTTGCACTTTTTGGTATTTCAGTGGCCAAAATGCTTTTGTACGCTTTTAAACAATATAACAATAAGCTGTCACTGGAATAATTTTAACAGCTGTCGGAAGATTGACTTAGAATTAACAGCAGTCTGAAGTTGGTTGCAGTATTTTCATCTCATACTGTAAGTGGACTTTTAGGGAGTACGAAAAAATTATTTCCTTTGTCTTTCAAAGTATTTTCAAGTCGGACTCGATAAGTTTTCCCACAAATTTTGTCTCAGTATGTATTGAAGTTTTACTAGTAACAGATTCTCTCTATGATTACGATTAAGTCTTGTAATCTCAACCAGTGACAAAAGAAAAATGTTCGCCAATGTCGGGACTTGATTTTGCTATGTCTTTTCTATTTGACCACAACTTTTAGCAAAATAACGTATAGAAGTTTATATCACATCCAACTAACTATTCGTTATAAATAAATACATAGCTTTAATTTCCTATATAAACATTATGATGCAGGTTCGTTAAACCTTTTACGTATGTCAACCTGTTTTAAAATAAATTTACATTCTATGTACAACAATGTATTGATTAAAATCAAAACTAGAATTGAAAATTGAACAAAAAAAAAAAACTATGTTTACTATGGTACCACCTTGCTTTATTGTCTTGAGTATGTTATTCATGTTTTTGTTGTATTAATTTTTCTAGTTCACATTTACCGGCTAGTACTCGTGCTGCATTTAACGGAGGAAAAACATACATATAGTTCTGCTGTCAGTTTTTTGGGACAGGTTTTGCTCTCAATTTAGCCTTCACTTTTCATTTAAGATTATTATTCTGTGCTGTGTTTCTTTCCTTTGCTTCTTTCTCTGTTTCCATTATTTACCTGAAGACCGAAAGAAACCAGTCAGTCACACTAGCGTTTACACATTTTTGACATTTTGGTATGGGTGGTAGAGAGTGCAAGTGGTGTAAGAAACCTGACTTTAATAATGATAAAGAAAGAATTGCTGTTGTTGTTCTTCATTATGTAGTTGTTGCCCTGCTATGCCATTCAGATTGACTGGTAAATTGTATACACCCTAAGGTATTTTGATTTTCATATTGAAAAGAGAAGGAATTTAAAATCTAAACCGGTATGCGGTTATGTTTCTGGTGTTGCGCCCATAGTTGGTAAAGAAGAGGTTTGTTGATATCAGCTTGTTTTTAGGTAGAAGTAGACGAGTTTCGTTTGTGGCTACGTTGACATCTTTTTTCGGTTTGTAGAGTGCAATATTAAATTTAAATATACTGAAATTTGTTTTGAAAATGGTTGGAGTTTTGCAGGTAATTTAGTAATACATTTGATATTGTTATCTTTCAAGTGGCCTTTACAAAAAAAAATGGATTTTTATCTGCGAGATTGTGCAAAAATGCTTTACTTTTTGTGTGTGTGTGTTTTTTGTCTTTTAGACGGAGACATATCTCTATGATCCGGATTTGTTACTAAAGTTGGATTTCCACCAAAGCCCAGCCAAGTTCAATCCATTTATTTCGGCAGCATGTCCTGGTGAGACTTGGTTGAAGGTCAGGCCCTTGAAAGATGGTGATTATGATCGCGGCTTCCTGCAATTGTTGTCGCAATTAACACATGTTGGACCAGTTTCAAGGACACTGTTTTTGAGTAAGTATGCGGGTTTGTGTGCCATTTACTATTGTTTTAAAAAGAAACAAATACGCAAAAAGTATAAATGAAAGCAATAGGAAACCTGTTGTCTAATTAGTAGATTGTAGTGACGTTGAGATTTTTTTAAACACATTTTTGTTATTGTTAACTCAATGAATAAAATATGAAAGTTAAAGCATATGACGGGTTGTGAAATGGTAAATAATGCCCTGTTTTGAAAATTGATTCGAAAGTGAAATCGAAAGAAAATCGCACATCTCTAGTACTTTTTTCAAGTTTTTTATTTTAGTTCATTTTAAAAATACTTATAGAGTTGATATATATATATATTTATTTTTTTTTTTTGAGTTCACTTTTGTATAGTCATTTTGTATAAGTCTCTAATTTAGATTCGAATAAATAGAAAATCTAGAATGTTTTATTTTGTACAACTTTCCGAGTTAATCCCAAATTATCGATTATGTTATTTTTTTATTTCAGCCCGCTTTTCCCAAATGAAAGCCAGTGGCGATTACTTTGTTACTGTAATTGAGGATACGCGCAAAAATGAGATTATTGGTGCCGCTTCATTAGTTATTGAACGTAAATTCATTCACAATTGTGCTATTGTAAGTAATATTTCAAACTCATAGAATGAATATTTATACCAATTAAAATTATTTGTTAAACAGCGTGGGCGTTTGGAAGATGTGGTTGTTAATGACACCTATCGCGGCAAACAATTGGGAAAACTGTATGTATATTTAAGATTTAATCTACTGTCATATTCAAGATTCTATAATTCTAATTTTTTTTTACAGAATTGTTGTAACCGTTTCACTGTTGGCCCAATATTTGGGTTGCTACAAAATGTCGTTGGATTGCAAGGATAAACTGATTAAATTTTACGAGTCATTGGGTTATGTTCTTATACCAGGCAATTCCAATTCGATGACAATACGTTATGATGAATCTCCAGCTGTTAAAAATAATTTGACAGCATTCAAGCGGCCAACTCCCTTAGCTAATACACCAACAGCTGTCAATGTTGCCGCTGGTGTTACGGCCGATGCTGGAGATAATTGCCAAACAGTGAGCCTTGAATTTAACTCTTGACAATTAGCCGCCAGTACTGCCACTAAATCGAAACTATAAATTTTTGTTTTCTTTAGCAAACCAAGCAAACAATTTAAAAGGGACATGGCTTAAAGATATTGCTTTATTGCCAAACAACCTAGTCCTTTTTTTCCTGTAATAATTAAAGAAAACAAAAATTTATGTTTAGATTTCTCAAAGTCTTGTTAGAGAAGATATATTTTCCAATATATTTTCGGCTTTGAGGGCAGTTCTGGCACCCAGTAGTAGGTTGCTTGGCTTGTAGTTGAAGACAACGTCCAAGCATTTCTATTCCCAAGTGCTCATGTACTTACATTAAATCGCTATCACATTCTTCCAAATCTCTACATTTGTTACATGTTTTAATCTGTTGTTTTTATTTGTGTATCTTTTTTCTTCTTTTGATGCCTTCCGAAGGTAGTATGTATATTGCCGTTTAAAAGTACATTTATCAATTAAAAATTATATACAAAAATATCTATCTTTTAATTTGCAAAAATCTTTTGGATTTGTCTTAATAAATGTTTACTGAAAATATATATAAAAAATAAGTTAAGAAGTGAAAATGTGTTATATTACCAAACATACCCTAATTTGCTTGTATTTGGGTTTAGTTATATTCACATAGATGACCACATTTGGGACAATTTGAATTGTTTGCAAAATATGCCATTAAATGTTGCAAATGTCCACCGTGTGAACAGCCCTGACACCATGCATAAAGGCCCCTCACAATCAGTCCACAAATAGAACATTTGGCCAAACGCATTGATTTGCACTTTTGACAGTACCAGCCCACACTTCCACCCAATGGTCTTCCGCAATCACCGCAATTCGTATGCACTGTGGTTGATTTTTGATTAAGTTCACGAACAGATCTTAGCCACGAAAGATTTATCACTCGGCAAGCTTCATTCCACATTTGATAACGATGTAACTGATCGATGTAGGTTTGGAACCAGTGTTCCTGTAGACAGAAAAGAATTGTTAAATAATTATTTTTCATTTAAATCGAAACAGAAAAACTGTGGATGCTCCAAAAAATAATTCCGCGGCAAGTCATATTTTTTAAAAGGGGCTGGTTAAAATTCAGTTTATTTCGAAATACACAGGGTGAGATGAAAAAAAAATTAAAAAAATGTATAAATTATGGCGTTTGACTTTGTTGCAGTTTTTTTTTCTCACCCTGTATTTCCGGTAAAAATACATTCTTTTTTTAAAACGTTCTTACAAGAAATAAACTAAAAACTAATTTTAAATGTAAACCTATTTTTACTTACAATTAGGGCTTCATTAATGGGAAGATATTTACGATTTTCACCCATGGCAATCAAAACAGACAATGCAGTCTGAACATCACCAACATCGTTTTGCAGCAATAAAGCATCAGTTATAAATTGGTGAGGCTCCCACAAAGGTACCGGCGGTATTGATGTGACTTTGAGCTCAACTGGCATATTGGGGGGCTAGAATTTAAGTATTTTAGAAACCAATTTAAACAATAATAGCTAATAAGAAATCATGTCTTACATACCGGCGATTTGTCACGATCATCAGCGTTAATATCCAGCTGTGGTCGTGCCGCCTGGACATCACAGTGTAAAGTTGTTTCAGGCAGTGCTAAAGCTTTAGAAATATCCGGTGGTCCAACATAAGTAAACCCGTTACGTAAATTATCAAAATTGTCAAATGTTATTTCAGTCAAAATTTGTGATTCGGATAGAATCACTGAACCATAGGGAGGATAGAATTGTTTGCCACCTGGTCCATTATGATCCATAAGATCGTCGTCTTGAGACTTGAGTTCCGTGTCATTATCGGAGCCATTTACATTGTTATTTTCATTGTGATCCCATTTTAGAACGTCCGTATTGACAACCTGTGTTGGTCGCCGTGATGCTTGTGAATTTTTCTGTGTCGAGAATGAGTTGCGATGTTCGTATTTTAACTTATTCAACTCATTTGATCCGTATGCAATTTCAACAAAATTCCACAAAGTTGTCGCATTGTGTTTACCATATTTGCGACAAACACTGGCGTTGTGTTTACAAATATCCGCTAACTTCTTACCCGATAATATTAGTTCCTTGGCACAGCCAATAAAGCATTCGTGCTCTTTTAGTTCTACTGAAATTTCAGGATCCACATAGCCCGTATACTATTCAAAAATTAATATAAAATTGTTTTTGGAATTCTAATATGCAATAATTTCAACTTACCGAAGGATTGAGGAGGAATCTACACATATCGGATTTTCCGATATGAAATTGTTCTGTCCCTGTCATTGATCTTTGGCGTGTGCTAGAAAAAACAATTAAGGAAAATTGAGTTTGATATTTTAGATGCATAAAATAAATGTAGAATATATTCGCCTGTACAAAAAAAAACTTACAAAATCAGAACGAATTGAATCCAATCTCATAATATAACTCAACATTTCATAGGCCTTATAGTATAACTCAACAATTTAATAAAACATAACTAAGAATTTAACAAACTTACATCATATTGTTGTTGTAATTGCTATTCGATTTAACAACTTGTGCAGCAGTTACTGGCAAAAAGTATTTCAATTTATTGGCAAATGAAATATCACCCTTTCTTCCCAAACTGGCTCCTTGTGCATTGGCTTTTAATGCTGGCCGCGAAGCATCCTTGAATGCATGTTTATAGATTGTTGAATCCTTACTTGTAGAAATTAGGCAGTTTGTATCCGTTCCCTTCCAAACAATGCCAGTAGTAACATTTGTGTGATCATTAAACGAGGCAAATGGTATGAACGGGCGACGTATGTCCCAAATGTGAATACTATAATCAACCACCAATGCACAACTTGCAATGTGATAACTAAAAAATGAATAAAACATCTTTAAAATGTAATTCACTTCCTATAAATGATACATTTACGTTTTTTCGGGTCTCCATTTGACACGTCCCACAACAGCTATTGTGTGTATTGTATGGTCCAAAGACGCTTTTCCATCCATATTCCAAATCTTGATCTGTTTATCTCTACTACCAGTGGCCAGCCAATTATTTGTGGGATGCCAGTCGCAAGTGTATATTGGATCACTATGAGCCGTAAACTGTAATATACACTTGTCGGCTCTGGAAAATTAGTGTTAAATATTGAAAATCTTTCCGATGTCTATTTTGAACAGTAGTTTACCTTCGTAAATCCCATAATTGCACCGTACCATTTTCAGATACTGCCGAAAAGGTATGGGGACTGTGCGGACTAAATTTCACATCGCGTACTGACTCCGAATTACTGTAGAACGTATTAACGGCCTTGTCACATCTTGTATCAAAACATTTAATGGTTCCATCCTGTGACCCAGATATCAAAAGATTCATTTCACTGCTGTGAAAGGTTACGGTGTGTGCTGTACGCTGATGATCATTGTAGACCAGAAGTTGTTTTTGTCTTCCGAACTTTGAAAGATCCCATACAGATACTACACCATTAGTAGCCGCAGTGGCTAATATATTATTATCCAATGAGCTCCAGGCAACATCGTTAGAAGAGTAGCTTAAATTTTGATTTTTACCGCTGCGCATATTACAAACTTCAGTGAAGCCGCCATCGTCACTGTCTATGGCAAATAGTTTAAGCACTGCAATGAAGAAAAAGGCGCACTAATTGAAAACTCCGGATTATTGTGAAAATAACAAGTATATGCTATGTATCAGATTAAAACCTGAAGGATGTGCCTTATAAGGCAGATTAAAGGACTTGGTAGCAGATTAAATTACGTTTTTATGTTCCTATCACTCGAAAACCAAATTTGCCGTCTCCGGCTAAGAGTTTGTTGTGTTGTTCCATATGGTAAAGAAGGAAATCTAAAATCGGTAGAGTAGAGCACACACTTACAACTCCTTCCAGCTACAGCAATTTGGTTGCAATCCCTATTCAAGGCCAATGCATTGGCATGACCATCCTGGCAAATTCGCAAGGATACGGTTTCGTCCAACATTCTCTGTGCGCTGCTCCGAACTTCCTTGTTTTCACGTATGTTCGTCCTAAACTTCCTCTTGTACTCTCTTCCACTAAATGGTTTGTTTGTTTACAAAAACATTCGTCGATAATTCGATTTTTTATAAGTTTCGATTGTACTAAAATATGTCATGTTCATACGAATATCTTAACATTTTTTTTTAATGAAAAAAAAAAAAAAACAAATTGTCCATAGCGATTTCTATTGCTCTGATCCAGAACCACGATAATGTAAAAATTTTACTACGATAACGGATAAAAGATAAGGCAGGTTCTATATTACAAGCAATAATATTACAAGCTATCAGCAAAACACAGCTGATATGATTCAACAGCAATACTACTAACAAATCCATAAGAAATAATTCCTTTTCGTAGACATGTACGATTTTTTCTGCATTTTGAACTTATAATCCACAATCCAATTTTTATTTTCATTTATTGACAATTTTTGAATTACATAATTTTTTTGTTATTAAAAAATGTAGTGTTTTGTTTCATAAAACAAAAGTCATGATACTAAACGTTTTTAGATAAAGTTTAGATTCATCAACATCGAGTTTGAACGGAGATTTTATTTCATGAAATATCTCGTGTGGAGACACAGCAAATAAAATAAAATAGGGTGACCTAGTTCACATTATGTTATTTTTCAGCCGGCTCGGCTGTCATGCATATCAGCTGTGGCCTGTTCAATTTTGTTTATTTTACACTTAAGCAAGAACTTCAAGAGCTCTCAAACAAGGCAGCGTTTTCCACAAAATAAGAATATATTCCGTATATGTGTGGCGTTTTCCATTGTGAAATATGCCCGATATTAAAGTAACTCCCCTGGGAGCTGGTCAGGATGTTGGCCGTAGCTGTTTGCTGTTGTCGATGGGCGGCAAAAACATCATGTTGGACTGTGGCATGCATATGGGCTATAACGATGAAAGACGGTTTCCAGATTTCTCATACATTGTACCCGATGGACCGATAACCAGTCACATTGATTGCGTTATAATATCACATTTTCATTTGGGTAAGTTGTCTTGGAAGAATTTTGAGTATTTTTTCTCCTTATCAAAACTGGCGGGATTAGTACGTATGATGGGTGTTTTTATGGTTTTATACACAAGGCAAGCAAATATATTAGATATTTTCTTTATGGGATTGGCCTGCTCCTTAAATAAACAGTACATTATCAAAGATACCACAATGAAAAACTAATGTAAATGAAATTTGTCCTCAAGATGTTATTAAAGGTCATAAAATAAGCTTTGGAGAAAATTAAAATAAGTGGGGGCATATCCTTTTAGATTATCTTCACCCACCAGGCATTAATTGAATTACAATGCTTTCAAAGAAGGTATTTCTATCTTAAGGGTAATCTTAGATTACCTACAACAGATCTTTGCAAAATTGTTTCTAAATTCCTTAATTAGATTTGAAGACGCTGAATTCGTAGCCAATCAGTATTGTGCAGATCAAAGAGACTTTCTGCGTATCTTCCACGAATTATTATATTATATAGCAACTTATCACGACGAGGTTTGAGTGAAAAAGTTTTAAAGGCCGATTCCGATGTATTACCTCGGCTAATTGATGAATTAAATTAAAATCAATTTTATAAAAATATTGGCAATGCTTCTTTTGCATTTTTATCAACTATAATAATTTTATGACTCTGTCTTGTAGATCACTGTGGGGCCTTACCGTATATGTCGGAAATGGTGGGCTATTCGGGACCGATTTATATGACCCACCCAACAAAGGCCATCGCTCCAATTCTGCTAGAGGATATGCGAAAAGTAGCGGTTGAACGTAAGGGCGAATCCAATTTCTTTACCACTCAAATGATAAAAGATTGCATGAAAAAGGTAACTGCTGTAACATTACATCAAAGTGTAATGGTGGATAGTGAGCTGGAAATAAAAGCCTATTATGCTGGACATGTATTGGGAGCAGCAATGTTTTGGATTCGTGTTGGTTCACAATCCGTTGTCTATACAGGTGATTATAATATGACTCCCGATCGTCATTTGGGTGCTGCTTGGATTGATAAATGTCGTCCTGATCTGCTGATATCTGAAAGTACCTACGCCACCACAATACGAGATTCTAAACGTTGCCGTGAAAGAGATTTCCTAAAGAAAGTACATGAATGTGTATCGAAGGGAGGAAAAGTTTTGATACCCGTGTTTGCATTGGGCCGAGCACAGGAACTATGTATTTTGCTGGAAACCTATTGGGAGCGTATGAATCTTAAGTATCCCATATATTTTGCATTGGGTCTAACCGAAAAAGCAAATACCTATTATAAAATGTTTATTACCTGGACTAATCAGAAGATAAGAAAAACTTTTGTGCATCGCAATATGTTTGATTTTAAACACATTAAACCCTTTGATAAGACGTATATTGACAATCCTGGTGCAATGGTGGTGTTCGCCACACCTGGTATGTTACATGCTGGTTTGTCACTGCAAATCTTCAAGAAATGGGCACCCAATGAAAACAATATGGTCATTATGCCGGGTTACTGTGTGCAGGGTACCGTGGGTAACAAGATTTTAAGTGGTGCCAAAAAGGTTGAATTTGAAAATCGTCAGGTGGTGGATGTTAAAATGTCTGTGGAATATATGAGCTTTTCGGCACATGCTGACGCAAAAGGTACGTGAAATTAATCTAAATGAACTGTAAATATAATTTAAAATCCTTCTATCTTAGGTATAATGCAGCTCATACAAAATTGTGAACCGAAAAATGTAATGCTGGTTCATGGGGAAGCTGAAAAAATGGCATTTTTGCGTAATAAGATACGCGAAGAATTTAACATTGAAACGTATATGCCAGCTAATGGTGAAACATCTGTCATATCAACCCCCGTCAAAATACCCGTCGATGCTTCTGTTTCGTTGCTTAAAGCTGAAACTCGCATTTATAATGCTCAACCACCCGATCCCAAGCGTAGACGTCTGATACATGGCGTTCTTGTAATGAAGGACAATCGTATTATGTTACAAAACCTCACAGAAGCTTTAAAGGAGATCGGCATAAATAGACATGTTATGCGTTTTACTTCCAAAGTAAAAATGGACGACCCAGGACCAAAAATACGCACAGGCGAAAAACTGTTAGCCTTGCTACAGGAAAAACTAACCGGTTGGACTGTGACAATGCAAGAGAATTGTACAATTGTTGTCGAAACCGTTGAGATAAAAATTGAGGAAGATGAAAAAGATCCGAAACATAAGACATTGTTAATCACATGGACCAATCAAGATGAAGATATTGGTGCATATATATTGAATTTGTTGCAAAATATGTGTTAGAGGCCAAAGGGGCCGCTTATTATAATTTTTTTAACTAAAAGCATTCCAAAATTTGAATGCTAGCTTTAATTTTTAAGTGAAAAGGTAATATTGTATATTTTCCAAATTGAATACTAAACAGACACACATGAAATAAAAATCATATATTTTTTCAGAGAAAAACAATAAGAAATTATATAAATGTAACAAAATGAAGTGAACAATGAATGCTGTAAGATGAAGTTTTGAGTACTGTATACAAAACAATACAATTCGACAATCAAACAATTCGAATCAAACGCAAAACAGAAATAATTATTTATATAAATTCAACAGAATATTTTTTCTTGCCAATAAACCATGAATAACGCAAGCAGGCATCACCATGTGTGTGTATGAACGTACTTTCCGGATCAAAAACAAACGGAACAGATGCTGAAATTAAAGGTATTTGGAGAATTAGTTATTGTTATGATGAAAGCATTTTATCTACACAACATACATTCTTTGATTTTCTCATACTGAGAGAATATATCAATCTCTTGCTGTTGAATTTGTTTTAAATACAAACAACCAATATCTCTTAGAACTTCCAAGAGAAACATAATATCCGTGGGAAACATATGCGAGAAACGTATACATATATCCATAACACTGCAACCGTTACGGGCAATACACTCACTTAGTATCGAACCCATCCATCTGTCTAAAACTCGACGATTTATAGACCCATTTAAACGTATCCACGGTACTGGTTTAAGGACTATGACCTCCCTGAAATTTCCAAAAGGGATTAATGAATAATTCATAAAAAAATTACTTTCTACAGCCTATACCAAATAGATAAATTTTTCAATTTTCGTAAATAATAAGGCCGAGTAACGTACAGGGTGAGATAAAAAAACTGCAACAAAATCAAACGCCATAATTTTTACATTTTTTTAAATGTTATTGAATGAAGGCACGAAATGTTTGAAATTGCATCAACTTTTAGAATAAGTTTAGATTTGTTCGAATTGATCTCCCTCTGGCCTTCAAAAGGCTAATGAAACCGTCAAACACTGCCCATATGTTGTTCTGCGGTATTTTGGCCCATTCCCGGCGAAGCGCTTGCTTGAGGTGATCGACACTTTGTTATTTTTTAGTGCCAACCTTTCCAAAATACTCCAGACTCAATAGTCCAACGGATTGGTATCCGGAGATTTTGGTGGCCATTGTGCGCTGGAAATGAAGCGAGGAACCTCATTGTGTAACCATTCTTGAGTAGCGCGTCGTGGGTTCGATGGTGCTGAGTCCTGTTGGAATGTCCAAGGTCTGTGGTCAAAATGTTTGCGCGCCCAAGGTCTTAAGACACCCCCACAATATTTTTGCGATAATATTCGTCATTTATTCTAATGCCACGGTCGATTAATACGAGCGGAGAGCGACCATCGGCTGTTATGGCGGCCCACACCATCACCATGGCCGGTGCTTGAGTTCTGGTGGCCATTTTGAGCTGACCGAATGTTTTCTCATCGGAGAAAAACAAATTCGGCAGTTCACCACTTTCGGTCAAGCGAAGCAACTCTTTAGCTCTTTTGAGTCTATTTTCTTTCTGTTGCGGTGTAAGTTCTTGCACTTTTTGGAATTTCTATGGAATATTTCGATATGTTCAGCGACGCATTTTTTCGACACTGCGACGCGGCGACGCCGTGAATTCCATCACGGATAACTTTTTCTCTAAAAAATTCTCACCAAAATGCTTGTAAACAATATAATGATTTGTCACTGGCATAATTTTAACTCCTGTCGGACGAGTGGCTTAGAAATGACGGCAGTCTTAAGTTGGTTGCTGTTTGTTCATCTCACCCTGTATATAAGTCAACATTTTGTATATAAGGTTCTAAGGCATTTTTAAGGAATCATTGGAAACATTTATCGTCTGATACGTCATTTTAAGTTGAGTCCATGTAACTCGAAACCACTCGATTCGAGAAAGCTTTCATGTTGGAGGACATAAAAAAACCATTTCTAATTACCTTTCCTTTGTATTATTTATGCTCATATTGCTTTCCACTTTCATGGGAGTATAACGATTAACCGGTTTGGAAACTCGTTTTGTCGATGTGGGTTTGCTTTCGGTGTTTGCGTTAGCTTCTTCATCAGTATTGTTATCTGATTGTTTCCGTTTTGCTTGAGTTTCAGCAGTATCTTCCTCTACTTGTTCTCCAGCATTCATTTGATCATAGGTTCTTTTCAAAGCGACCGTTGAAGTTCCCAAATTTTCTCTTTCCAGCCTCTTCAAATTGAACGTGTGTACTACCCATGATCGCACATAGTCTTTGTGTACATACATGAAATTAGCAATTCCCACTCTTTTTATTAAATATTCCGATTCCAAGAACTTTAGGGCCTTCAGAAGGAATTGTTCGTAGGGAAATTCTTTCTGAAATTAAACAAAGTGAAAAAGCAATGTCAACTGAATTTGGTTTTGAAAAATATGAAAATTTAAACGAGATTTGATTGAGCCGGTCGATTCGTTGATTAACTTTGTCCAAGTCTATACCTGAATAATCATGAAATCATTAGTTATAGGCTAAGGAGGTTTCATACGGTTCCCATTTCATAAAATTATTCATGTGTCGACCAGGACAATTGGGGGTTCGTATCCCAACTATTTTTTTATGTATGTATATATATATTTCCCCCAATTTACCAGTAAATCCAAAATCGATACACCAAGCTTGTGTTTTTCAATGAAATTGTGAATCTCCTCCAAATGTTTTTGTTCCATATCAGAGAAATTACTTTCAATCATTCTGGCCTTAACACAGTTCAGAGTCTTGTCGTTGTATTTCCAATAAGCCTCGCTAAAAATTAAATAAAAATTATGAAATTCGATTTTTAATTGACTATTACGTATTTTGAAACCTACTCCAAAATTTTCTTCAATATTGCCTCCCTTTGTTGTTCAGTGAAAACTATTCTCTTTGGTATCTTCATGTCTCCATTGTAATCAATTGTATCGGGATCCTCTATAATTTTCGAATTTGCCTTTATCTGTATGGTGGGTAAATTCACCACAAAGACATCTTGAGCCCTAATCACACGTTCATCTTTATTCAGTGTCGGCTCATATTCATCCGCCTTATCATAATCATCATCTAAATTAACATTAAATTGTAAAATCTCATTGCACAATTCACTCCAATCGATGGTGTTGGTTGTTTTCAGTGCACTGGCATTTTTGCCCAAATCTTTGCGTTCATATTGCATTTCCTTTTCATACCAATAAGATTCCAACATGCGTATTAGTGTTAATAAATTCGAAGTATAAACTTTCATGGATAGACCACTCGTGGCTAAGTTTAGTAGTTTTTGTGGAGCCATTTCTGTGAGAGAATTTAATACTGATTTCTTTTCTCGTACAATACGATTAATTTCGCTAAGATAATCGACCGAATTAAAGACGCATTTAAATGGACATGCAATCTCCATATGACCATCTTCATCCTCACGCTGCAGCTTACTAAAATTGATTTCAATTTCCTTGTCCATATAATCCAGGGCACAAAAGAAATGTAAATATCTGGAGGGTAGTTTTGAAATCAAATCGAAGGGCGTGTAATTAATTTTGTAGCTCAGGTTGGCGGGATGGAATTTGACACGAATCTAAAAATAATAGTCAAATTTAAAATGAAATTCAATATAATTGGCAAATAATAATAAATAATAATTTGAATTTCTTCTCTAAACAGATGCCTCCCGAAATATGTTTCTCTTAGTCTCAGTTATCTCAGTTGGTAGCTTTTCGTTACAAATTGATAATTATACCCTCCACCTTGGAATGGAGGGTATATTAACTTTGTCATTCCTAAATATTCGTCGTAGATCCCATAAAGTATATATATTCATTATCAGCTTAAAATTCTAAATCGATTTAACGATATTTAACGTACCTCCCGATATTCGGTATTTTGATAATTTTTGGCACATTTTCCCATGAATATGTAAAAAATTTGGTATTTCGTTTACCCTAAGGTGGAGGGTATAAAAAGTTCGGCCCGACCGAACTTAATGTTTTTTTTACTTGTTTTATTTTCCAATTTACACTTATACTCTTAAACTCACCTGTTTTCCTGAACTTTCATTTTCCATCGCCTTGGTGTATTCTTGCTCTGGAGCATTATTAAATATAGATTGATAATGATCTAAAATACGATCTGCTGGATTAACGCTATGACTTTGTTCCACATCAACTGTTAATATATTTACGGGTAGTTTTATATCAATCGACAATAGTTGTCTAGATAAACCTTCGCCAATAAAAAAAAATTGACCCAAAGTCGGCGATTTTAATTCCAGATAATTCTTAGCACTACTGCTGCCGGCGTCAACTCCACAGCCAAAGAAACACTGCAAAGCTCGTTCATAAAATTCATAAGCTGCATCATAAACACCATAGGGTACACGTAAAAATAACAATTTCAGGCGGTATTTTGAAGACAACACATAGGCGGGACCACCAATCTGATTAGAAAACATGCTAATATTTTGACGTTTTATGGCCACAGCCAACGATTCGGAACGGGCCTTACAGAAAGCTGTTTTTAAAATTTCTTCCGAGAAATTCTTATAGATCTCAAAGGCCTGGAGGTTATATAACGTTTTATCGCGATATGCGCACAGCGCAGCATGTAAAACGTTCATAACAATCATAACATGCAGATCATCGATATCTTCAGGATTTCTGTAGAGTATGATATCCTCATCGGTTTGGGTTGGCATGCGCTCAAGAAAACGTTTGTGAAATTCTTGTATGCTATCGGGCAGTAAAAATCTAGAATTTCCCGCCGAATCTTGGGTGTTATTAACCAGTTTATATAGATGGCACATGATAAGAGTAAAGTGTATAAGTAGGGCGTCGATAAATTCGCTTCGCACTGGATAGGCTTTTTTGAGTTTTTGCAAAAAATTTTCGCCATATTTCTTTTGTATCACCTCGTCTGTTTGCAGAACATGCAACCAAGATGGAACTTGGGGAATGTGACGCTTTTGTCTTATGATGAACTGGAAAAGAAAGAGCATTTGTCATTAAACAATTACTTTTAGAGGGGTCATTGAATAATCAATGAAATATTTTAGACAAACGTGCCACAAAACTTACTTGCATTCTCCTGCAACAGGCCTGTGTCGTCTTATTGTATATGCCCAAACTGTGACGGATTATGTCACGACACACTTTTCCCATTGCAAGCAAACCTAGAGAGGGTATAGGAGCTGCCACATACACTGAGGTTGCCTTGGCTATCATCAAGACTTCATCCTCTGCCTTGCTCCATGATACACGCAGTGTACGCATATTTTTCAAGGCATCCCGATCAATTGCATCTCTTGGGGCGGTCTTTTTTAAATTCTTATCACTCTTCGACGAGGACGTAGAACTTTGTGCCTTGGCCCGTTTAATTGTGGCAATTTGCTGACGTGTTTTACTCGTCTTAACACGTAGAATTTTATTCGAAGAACGTACCAGACCCGTTCCCGCCGTACGTCCTGTACGTAAATTGCGTACAGTGATTTTCTTATTACTCTGTACAGACCACGACCAATTGCGAAAGGTGTGTGCAAAGAGTTGGGTAGATAAACCAGCAGCACCTAAACCATCACCCGGTTGATAACCGACATCATGCTGGGGAGCTTCATCGTAATCCACTGGGTTAAGGAAACTTAGCTCTTTGATACGCTCTGAGCGGCCAGGATTTCGACTGCGAAAACCAAGTTTAGTGTAAACACAAATACGCTGCAACGTTGTCCAGTAATGATGGATGTCATCAAAGCTGCGTAAATCAAAGGTTATCGGATGATATTCACGATCGGCATTGATACGTATATATGAGGGTTCTGTATTTGTTGTGTCCAATGCACGAGCCTTCCTATTCAGAAATATCCACATTACCAAGGGGTCTTTGGCATTGAGGCGTTCACCAACCTAGGAAGTAAAATAAATTCAAAAATCCAAATATTTCATATCAAAATGTAATACCTGTATCAATCCCATGTGATTCAATAGTTTAAGAACGGAAATATAAACCCTTTGCAATTGGACACGGGCAATTTTGTATTGTAAATCTGATGGCAATTGACGCATAAGATAGTGTTGTTTTACCGGGTGATTTAAGTATGACGTCAACCGTTCATCAGCTCCCTTGTCAATGTGGAAAATTTTATTAAATATCGATAAGGGCATACGATCGACAGCATCAACAAAATAAACCCAACCAGCGGGTTTATCAGAATATCTGGGCAATGGCTGAATAAACGTACGCCAACTTATATCCCTGGTAAATGGTTTCACATTAATACCCTCATTTTTTAATTGTTCCAAATATTCCGGAATTCTCAAAGACGGTTCAGAAATTTGCCAATGTTCCAACAGTTCTTTATTGATCTGAAACGGCGACTGTTGTTCGTTAAGTTCGACGACAATGTAGAACAGAAACTCATGCAAATATCTTGATATAAGGAATTTCGGTGGTTTGTGCACCTTTAGTGGCACCAAAACATTTCTAGGCAATTTTGTCTCGTTAATCTTCGACTTTTTGGAACTCAATTTTAGTTTCTTATTTTGGAAACGCAGTGACGACAACATACGCATGCGCTTCTCCTCCAATATTAAATAGAAACTATTTTTCAATTTCAATATTTCATTCTTAATAACCTGATGATCCATATCAATTTTTGGATGTGTGACATAACGATATATGCGTATATGTTCCTCGCATTGTAAAATGATTTCGTATACCCGAACTATGTTACTTTCACTCATGTGCAGTAGCATTCGGCGTATAGATTTCTGACAAATTTCATCTTTGAGACCTTTTTCTTTTTCATGGATTTTCAGTAGTTTTCGTAACAGCAAAACAGATATAATGCATTTTTCATTGACCATTTTTACGGCAAAGGCTTTACGGGAGACCAAGCGTTGGCTGTGATTTTCACGAACAGTATTCGTATTGAGCTTATACTCGAATGGTTTGATACGTGATGTTATTTGAGGAATATCTGTAAATTGTACATCTTCCTGGGGTATATTTGGTTCTTCGTCACATTGTAAATTTTGTAGAACTTCCATGGAGTCTTTGACTTTTTTCGTAACTGAATCGGAGTGTTCGACTGCCACAAACCTGAAAGACAAAATACCAAAGTGTTTTCATGACTCGTTCATAAGTACCCATTTAACTTACATATTCACACGCTGACGGCCAACATCAAGGCAATAGGATTTTATGAGACCATCGTTAACCATTTGTTTAACCATTTGCCTTAATGTCAAATGGTGTATAGCCATATGACGATAGATTTCAGTTTGACTACAACCACGAGTGCCATATCTGGCAACACATTGATAAAACTCTTCACGCAAAGGCATATCAATGTATGAATGTTTTTCATTGTGAAAATCTTCATCTGCAATACATATATAGAATAATATAAATCCTTTTCTAAGAAAAATGTTGCTTCTCACCATTTTCGTTATTTTTATCATTCTCATTTTCCATGTTTTCAAACAAGTCATCTATGGACTTTTCGGGATAACGCAAACGTACCATTGTTACGGTTCTTCCAGTTGGGCCACCTTTTGACTTAGCATTGGGGTGAATTTCTAAATATGGAACAGACTACAGAGAATAATATTATAATTACATAAACAATATAAAATATAAAGCCTGTTTAAAGAGCTTACCCTTGTCTCAAAGATCTGTCGAAATAAATGTGTTAACATGGCTTTCTTTAATGATTTTTGTCGTTCAAAGGATGGAAATATTGTACGCACATCTACCAGCGGCATGGTGTAGTCTTTCTTTTCTTTTAAAATAAGGAAAAGTTTTTCTACCATATTTATAAGACGACTGCGATTTGTATTGTAGAAACGAGGCAAGGTCAATAATGTAGTTACACTTAAACGATCGCCACGTTTTTCATTGAATAACTGATTAACCACTACTCCATGGCGTAATAATTTATTCCTGTAAAATAAAAGCAAACAGGCTATGATTACTAAGGGTCAAAATAGTATTTTATAAATATAAATACTTTATATAAAACACAATAGTTGAGTCTTTGCAGAAATGTGTCAATGACCAGGTTCCAGATGTGGTTTCACCATTAAATCGAGCCCGACCTATAGCCTCCCATATACAGTATTGAATTGGTGTTAATTCTTTAGGTCTTGGTACATTTTCCGGTGTCAGGGCATTGTAGCGAAGTTCTTGAGAAGCTACTATCACAAGCTTTTTACCCCACCTGAAAAAAATGAAATAAATCAATTAAAATGCCAAATAAATGTGCTCCAATACCAACCGTGCATGTACGTCTTCCAAGCTAAGATCTTTAATCACATCATATGGAATTAATTTTCTTTCCTTATAATACTCACAGGATCCAACATTTTCACCATCACTTATGGGTATACATTTGTAACGAATGGCTGGACAAATATCCTGTATTTTATGATTAGTAAAAAAAGCTAAAACCACTTGAAATATATTCTGATCTTACCGGTGTTATTGGAACTCCCAAGTCAGGGTCTACTAATTGATATCGATCAAATAGTTTAACTGTCTCCCTCTCCACTGGTAACTCATAGAATTGTAAATGATTGTGAACACGTAGTATAAATGCCCATACCTGCTGCAAAACCTTTGCAGGCAAGGGGAGTGGTAACCCCATAGATTTGCCCAAGTAAACCCATAGGGCTGGAATTTAAAAAATGATGAGATATCTTGTAGCTTCAAAACAAAAACAAATTATTAGTTCTGCTTACATTCTAGTGTGACCCCTTCTAAGCCCTCTAGGGCTATTTCATCCAAAACAATACGTTGAAAAGATCCCCTGCCTAGTGTAGGATCCATTTCATACTAGTATTTCCCAATGTTTGACCTTTTTGGCAATTTATTTTTATAAATAAACTACGAAACCGATTCCCAGATCAAATCAACATGACCAAAATGAAAACATAAATAAAACATGCTTCTTCATTTGTTTACCAACACTTACAATGGATTGATAACACAACACATAGGGATCCTTAAGTAGACACTGTCAAATCGTTTTTAGAATTGGAAATTTTGAATGAAAAATTATTGAAATTTGTGAAAATTGTTTAAAAATGCATATTACAACAACATCAGATTTGCGTCGTATAAGAAAACATATAAATTTTTTTGGGTAAACAGGTTAATAGCTTGAAAGCGCGAGCCGCAATGTACGTGTCTTCCAATCATTGGAAGACTGAAGACGGGCACACTTAGAAAAAAAATTTTAATCAGCTTTACCTTACCTTTTTATTGTACCATGCAACTACCTATATTCTTCTACTTTGGATCTACACATGGGAAAATGAACTGTCAAACCGACTTGGAAATTAATAATGTTGAATGAAAAATTGTTGATATTTGTAAAAATTGTTGAAATATGCATATCATAACAACATCGAATTTACGTCGTATAAGAAAACGTATCAAAATCTATTTATTTTTGACAAAACACTTTAACAATTTTGACATGTCAGTGCTCTCAATCGTTGATATTCTTCTACCATGGATCTACCGAACTTTTATACTTTGTTTACATTAGTGATTGTTGTCGGCTTAACCACCTACATTGGGATTTATTTGACGTATATGCAATGATTTTTTTTTTTTTGTGGTAGACGTCATAATCTTATATATATTTTTGTGAAAGAATTTATTGTTTGTACGTTTGATTGTTTTTTTTTTTTTAATTTAATTTCAGTATTGTTCTACAAACATTTTAAATTGCAGACAGCTTCTTCACATTTGGATCTTTTTAAGTTTTCTAGATCTAGATATATGTAAGAATTGTACGCATTTTAACAACCTGCCTCTTAAATATTTTTTTCTTTTGGGTCTCAATTATTGTTCAGCTAAAATCTATAATGAAAACTTTAATAAAATCAAGAAAAATAAAATTTTCAAAAGGCAAGACCAGTGAGGTAGCAGGTTGTGGACCTAGATCCCTTAGAAATGACTATTTTTCTGGCATTTATAATTTATGACCATTATTTTCTGCCATACTTATGCGAAAGGATAATTTTTTAATTTTTGTAGCAGCCATTGCAATATGTCATATTGCAGCGTTATCTAAAATCCGCAAAATTCGGTATCATGAACTGTCAAACCAATTTCGTGTAAAAAAAATGTTAAAATATACGAATTATAATAGCCTCCGAATGACGTCGTATAAGAAAACATATAAAAATCTACTTATGTTAGAAAAAAACATTTAAATTTTTTGACATATCAATGCTCCCAAGCGTTGATGCATCTACCTGTATTCTTCTGCCATGGTACAAAAAATCAAGGTAGGGTTATGATACCATATGATTTTATTTGTATTGTATATTTGTTTACCCTTTTCAATAATAAAAAAATTGTTCCGAAAATGAACCTATATAGAACATGATTTTGTAAATAAATGTCAACCTTTCATTCAGTTTTATCGGTTTTCAATTATTTATTCAAAATTAATGCAACAAGTTGTTTGGTTTTTAATTGTTTTGATAGTAATTCTGACTTTACAAGCCAAACAGGTATACCTCTATACTTGCAATTTTTTTAAGTTAGCCTACCTTGTCCTCATTGTACCATGTCGAAAGTAATAATAAATTGAAAATGTGTGTTTTAATTTACCCTTCTTTCTAAAAGAACCCATATAATTTATCAAAATTGTTCTATATATCATTTAAACTCCACAGGAATTCAGAATTGACGTATGTCCGATGGAATTGAAAGTCAAATTCTGCTGGATTTAATATATGTATATTAAATACCAAGAAAATCTTGATTAGTCGAAATTCAACCTACATACACCTATCGCACGTATAGATTTGCACAAGTTTGTTTACAAAGGCAACTTGAACAACCGCCAGGCCACTAGATGACAGATGACAAGCAGTGAAAAAAAATATTCGCATATGCATACGTCATGAAAAGTTTGTAAAGGAAAAAAGTGAAAATTTTAAAGAAAATATGTTGGATATTTGCACAAAAACTATACAAAAACAAACTGGCCATACTGAACTACAAGAAAAATGAAAATTCATCCATTCGAAGGCAATTAAAAAAGGTTAGAGAACTTTGCGTATGAAGTGTGACTGACTGGCAGAGTTGAACAGTGAAAGAACGAACGAAAGTGTAGTCATAGTGCAAGAATAACAAAAAAAGAATTTATCAAACGAAAGAAATTGTTGAGCATAACACAAAAGAAAAGAAGAAAAATAATTGTTAATTTACTTATTTAATTGCTTTGCAAGAAGCGTTGTTTTTGTCGTAAAACAAGTGGCCAGCTGTTAAATCCAGAAAACAAGTAATCAATATTCATAGCTGCAGTAAGATTGCACAAAAGGCAGTAAATTTGTGGTATCCTCCCCCCACCTCTCACAAGGCAAGGCGAGTTGATACATTTGAAATTTGTCATAAGCAAATTTTGTTAACAAAATATTTGGCCGACGAGCAAAGCACATGATGTGGTCGTTCTTCTCGCGCGACTCTTCCAAAGATTTCCCCTATGACATCGGTGAGCCAGTGGCAGGTTTTGAAAATCACTCCATATGGACTTTGCACAAAGCCAAACGAAAGGGCACCCAAGAGGAAGTGTCGGTATTTGTGTTCGATTTACGTAGTGGCTCGGATGCCAAATGTGAGCTGGCCAAGGCGGCGTTGAAGAGACTCAAAACATTGAGACATCCGAGTATATTGCAATTTTTGGACTCGCTGGAGACAGATAAATTACTGTATGTAGCAACAGAATATGTTGAGCCATTGGGTTTGCATATAGCCAAACTGTCGGCAGATGGCCCACAAAAGGATTTATATTTAGCTTGGGGTATATTCCAAATAACGGTGAGTGACTGGAATTTGATATTTGTTCTGTTTGTATATCTAACTGCTTCTTTGTTGCATTTAGCGCGCATTATCCTTTCTCAACAACGATGGAAGTTTGAGACACAACAATGTGTCAGTGTGGTCAGTGTTTGTGAATTCATCGGGTGAATGGAAATTGGGAAGCTTGGAATATGTCTCGCCGGCAGATGGCAATCCGATGCCACCCATTAAAGTACCACCTTCACTGGAAGTCTATGATCCACCGGAAAAGAATGATCAAACAAAACTAAAAGCGGCAACAAAGTGGTAAGTGGGCAATTCATATGCAGTATCTTAGGTTTATAAGAAGAAGCAAACTAAAAGTCCAAATGAATACCCATAACTAACGAAGCCCAGATATCACATCAAGTGACCTTTAAATGTTCCTCACTATAACGTAAATGAAATGGATTTTTTTAGAATATTTTCCTTGAATTAGATTTTTTATTAAAACCTACTAACAATTATTCGCTTTTGTTTTCCTATTTCCAGTTCCGCTGACATGTGGGGTTTGGGCTGTCTCGTTTGGGAATCATTTAACGGACCACTCCGTTCCCGTTCCAATCTCAAAGACATTGACTGCATTCCGAAATCATTACAATCGCTGTACTGTGAATTGGTTGGTGCATCTCCCTCGAATCGTCCCAATCCGGCTGATATTATAACGCGTTGTCGTAAACCTGGTGGATTCTTTAAAAACGATTTAGTCGACACACTATTGTTCCTCGAAGAAATACAAATCAAAGATAAAGCGGAAAAGAATCGTTTCTTTTCGGGCCTAACATTACATTTGGACAATTTTCCTGATAACGTGTGCAAGTGAGTTTCGTAAAGAAAACCAATTACTCAATTCAAATTACTGATAATAGAAATATTTTATGTTATTTGTTCTTTTGTAAAGGCACAAGATTTTACCACAACTGATAACGGCATATGAATATGGTGATGCTGGCTCAGCTGTATTGGCGCCCATGTTCAAGGTAATATTTTTGTTTTGAATTTTTGAAGAAATTTAAATAAATTGCCTAATTTTCTTGTAGCTTGGAAAACTCCTAGATGAAGCGGAATATCAAAAACGCATTGTTCCCTGTGTTGTTAAACTTTTTGGTTCTACGGATCGTGTAACACGTTCACGTTTACTGCAGCAACTCGAGCTGTTTATTGCGCATCTGCAGCCCCAAGTGGTAAATGATCAAATATTCCCCCAAGTAGCTCATGGATTTCTTGATACAAATGCCACCATACGGGAACAGACTGTCAAAGTAAGGAAAATAAATATTTTTTTATGCAACTAAACATATTTTCAATTTATATCTTGCAGTCCATTATACACTTGGCTCCAAAATTAAATTACAATAATTTAAATGTGGAAGTTTTGAGACATTTTGCACGTCTTCAGGCCCGCGATGATCAGGGTGGAATACGTACAAATACCACCGTTTGTTTGGGCAAAATAGCACCTCATCTACATCCGCAGGTTAGTAAAACATTTATAAATAACTCAAAACAAACATGAAACATGACGACTGCTACTTCTCTTCTATCAGGTACGACAGCGTGTTTTAGTATCAGCTTTTATACGCGCCATGCGTGATCCTTTTCCACCCGCCAGGGTAGCCGGAGTTTTAGCTTTAGCCGCCACCCAACAATACTTCTTGTTAAAGTAAGTTTAAGTCTTGAACGTTTATCAAGGAACAGTTTTATCCTTTCGTTAATATTGCAGCGAAGTTGCAAATCGTGTCTTACCTGCATTGTGTTCGCTTACAATTGATCCGGAGAAAAGTGTACGCGATCCAGCCTTTAAAACAATTCGAGGGTTTTTGGGCAAGTTGGAAAAAGTTTCTGAAGATCCAAGCCTAAGAGAGACAATGGGTAAATTTGATTTCATAATATTTTTTGTGGAAAATTAATACAATAACTTTTACCTACAGAGGCCGATGTTCACACAGCCACTCCATCAATCGGTAACGCTGCCGCCACCTGGGCTGGTTGGGCAGTAACAGCTGTAACATCTAAGTTCTATCGTAGTCAAAGTGATTCCTCAAGACCTCGACCACCGTTGACAGGCCGTAATTTATCAAAACCTGCGTCGTTAGGTAAATAATTTCCAATAGAAATTCCGCCCAAAAGTGCTCTAAGTTTATATATATATTTCTGTTTTTAGAACAACCATCAAGCAGCAGTTTATCGACAACCACCTCTTCTGTAACGTCCATGACTTCATTGGAACATGAAAGCAATGATACATCTGCATCTGCCTCCGATTATGGCAACAATGATTGGGACAATGAAAACTGGGGTGAAATGGACGTAAGTATTTCATGCAATAGAAAATTTTATTGATTAAAACTAAATAAACAACTCTTAGACATCACAGGATCCTAGCTCACCAATGGCTGGTTCGCCTAACAATGGTCCATTATCGGTCAACACAGCGCTAGCGGATGTCCGAGATGGTTGGGACAATGAAGAATGGGGTAGTTTGGAAGAGGATCCGGTAAGCAGCTGATAACAATATTTTTTAAAGGAAACAATAATACCCTAAATATTTTCATGTTCTCGGTTTTCTTCACGAGAGGTTTATGTTTGAAGAAAACAAAAAATGTTTCAAATTTGAATTTAAGTCAAAAATTAAAAAAAAATATGAAAAACTCATTTGGAATTGAGTTTTTCTTTCGCGTTTAATATCGTATTGTCATGCATGCTTATGATTATAAGTCAATATTTCTTCTCCAGAGATTGTAGTAGAAAATTATCTTTAAAACAAATTTAATTTAAATTGGAAAGGAAAAGCACGCCCTTTTCATTTTTATACTAAAATGTTCATCACAGTAACATATGTTTTAAAAAGAACAAACTAATTTGTTTAAACATTTCATTTCAAAACTTTTTAGGGCGAAGAGGAAGCTCAGGAACAAGAACAACAACAAATGCAATTACGACAATCACCCATACGGCCTCACCAACAACAATTGCAACAACATCAATTGAACGAATTAATTGAGCCATTGGCCAAACTTAATTCCCACAATACATCACCTTCCAAATCAACACTCGGCTCAACATCACTATCGTCAAGTCTACGACCAAGAGATCTATCGGCTAATTTATCATCGGCTAGTAATACAACAACATCGCCAACACCATTCCTCAATTGCAATAACATTAGTCCGCCACAGCAGAAATCACCGCATCACATGAATAATTCAACGAATAGCAATGCCAATTGGAACAGTGATTCCTGGGCAGATGGTGAATTCGAACCTATCGACGAACCTTTGACAGGTGAGTGAGAAATGATTTTTTATGTTTCTGTGTAAATAATTCTCTGTTGGGAAATTGTCTGGAATTGTATATGCTTTTGTTTAATGCAAGTTTAGTGTTTTTATTTTTAATTATTTTATTTGTTTTCATTATATTTTGCACGTACATTCATATTTAATTATTCGGCTATGTTTTTAAATTATTGACTGAATATAAAATTTGCGCTTTTTGAAACAAAACAATCCCTTGTAAAAGACATCTTCACATAAAATATCCAAAATGCTTAATTACAATATGATGTGTTCAAATGACTTCAACATTTCTCCAATATTGGAAAAGAGCGCGAGTCTTACCTATACCAAAAACAAAGAATGTTTGTGGGCCTGATGATTTGCGTGCCATTTCTATTCTTCCAGCTATATCAAAAATAATTGAGCTATATCAAAAGTAATTGACCAAATCATTCACCATTGTTCTAATTATATTTGTGACTCTCAGTTTGCTTTTCGAGCAGGACATAGTACGACACATTTACTTCTCTCTCTCACTGATAGCATTCGGGAAGATATAAATAATTGCAAACTTAGTGTCCTTCTTTCGCTTGATATGTCAAAAGCTTTTAATTCCATAAACATCAAACGATTGATTTACAAACTTCTGAATGAATATAGATTTTCTGATTCGACATGTAGGCTTATCTTTTCGTTTCTGAGTAATAGGACCCAATAAGTTAGTTATAATAACCTTCAATTGGATTTTCTGCCTCTTCATTCTGGTGTTCCACAGGGTTCCGTTTTGGGGCCCTCTTGTTTATGCTCTATGTGAATGATCTACCTGTATACACAAATTTTCCAGATTGCCGTACCTTTATGTTTGCTGATGACATATTTTTGCTTTTCAGTGGTCGATCAGCTTTTCCTGAAATATGTCAAAGCAATAAAAATTGTTATCTTCGTAATGTAGTCGATTGGACTATTAGGAACTCGTTGTTGTTGTGAGACCATTTCATTTCATTTATTTACCTTACAAAGAAATATAAATAAGCCCACAAGGCCCATAACTTATATTATCTATCTACAATACCCTAACATAATACAAATTCAATGATTAATTCAAACTTAACAAATAACATATTAAACCTAATAATTTATCTTAATAATTCACAAGAAGCTCGAACCCTACACCTCGATTCACCATCACCAACTAAACAATAGTCTAGTAGAGCAGTGAAAAATTGTAGCAGAAACGAGCTAAAAATAAGAGAGAACTATTTTATTACTCACAAAACAGAGTATAAATAGTAACTCACATTATACCATACAAATAAAATTAAGAAGATAATATAGAGATCATTCAGAGTTTCACATATATGTTCAATATGTTTTGGATAAAATTTATGCTTGTAACTTATATCTACCTGTCCGAATTAAACAAAGACTGGGAGAGGCATTGTTAATGACTCATGTCAAATATGGTTTTGAGGTCATTTCAGGTACTGTGGGTATATATTTAAATAAACTTAAGAGACTTGTTAATACAATTGTAAGATTTGTATATAATGTTCCTAGAAGGAGACATATTTCAGACTTTGTTAAGAATTTTTGGGGATGTTCCTTTCATGATTATATTGATTTTCGAAAATTATTTTTATTTTACAAGGTTACTAAATACAGTAAGCCTATTCAATCATATAGATCATTTGACTTTTCCCACTTCACTAGGAATCCTCAATTATTCATTTCTAGAATGTTGAAAAATATTTTTAGCCGATCATTTCGTATTTGTGTTGCGCGTAGTTGGAATACATTGCACTTGGAATTGCGATTATTTTCGCATTCTAATAATGTGTTTAAAATAAAACTTCTTGCATTTTTTAATATTAACTGAGTTTCATAATGTTGCTAAGTCATGAATTTGTGTTACTGCTATCTGGAACCTCTACCCTGTTTTTTTCTTGTTGTCGTGGTTGGGTGCCAAACTCTAACTCAAGCTCATAATAAATGAGTGGTATGTAATTTTTTTTCTAATTTTATAAATTTATTTGTAATAATTTTAGTTTGCTCAGAACTTATTATAATGTAATGTTTTTGGCCTTAAAGGCTTTTATTACATGAATGAATTGAAATAAATAAATTATAATAAATATTATATATAAATAAATTAAATAATATAATATATGATAAATAAAATTTTCAAAATACGTCAAGTTAGAAACTATTAGAATTTCGTCACAACAGAATTTGTTATGTTATTTCAATATCTCAAAGTTTCTGAAAGTTTTAAGTTCTTTAATGTCTAAATCCTGAAGTCAACTACTTCGTCGATAGGGGTCTAAATGAAGAGAATATCAATATATGTTATCAGATTTTAATATTAAGTTCGTCATGTAAAATATACATTTTAGACCCCACAAAGTATATATATTCTTGGTCAGCATAAAAATCTATGTCGATTTAGCGATGTTCGTTCGTCTGTGGAAATCACTCTACCTTCCGAACGAATTGAAGTAGATTGATAAAATTTTACTCAAATGTGTATTATGTCTGCAGGACTTTTGGCATTGAAAATGGGCCATGTAGGTCCACGTTTTGGTATAGCCCCCATATAACGGTACCTCCCTATTTTCGATAATTTGGTTATACATTATTCATTGGAATTGTTTCAAATTTAATATTTAAAGTTCGAAATGGATACTACAGCTTAAGACAGAGAATTGTCTGTGCAGTTCCACGTCTTCGTATAGGCCCCATATAACGGTACCTCCCAATATTCGGTATTTTGATGATTTTAGCGTCATTTTTCATGGGAATGGTTTCAAATTATATATTTTGAGTTAGTAATGGGAACTACAGTCTATGAAAGAAAATTATCTATGCAGGTCCTGGTCTTCGTATAGGCCCCATATATTAGTACCTCCCTATATTCGGTATTTTGACGATTTTAGGTACAATATTCACCGTTTATTTCAAGTTTCGAATTTGGATTTTAACGACAGGATTTCTCCCCTTGGGCTGGGATAGCTCACAGGGGTCCAAAAGTCCGTACATAAATTTTTATTCGTTGAGACAGAAAGAGAAAGACAGTGGTTTGAGTTTGATATTACGTTTTTATTACGAGAGATTTTCCTAAAGGTCTTCGGTCCGGAATTGGAAGCGGTTCTTCGACTCGAGACCTGGATAAGTACACGAGAAACGGGACCAGGACACAGGATTTGGGTGCTCAGGATTCGGGCTGGATTCAGTGCTAGAGACCTGGATAGGTACTCAAGCAGACTACAGGATATTCACGGATAAGGTTGCAAGATACCTTAATTATTCAAGCGGACTACAAGGATCAAACAAGAGACCTTAATAAGTATGAAAGCACTACAGGATATTCAAGGATATGGTTGCCAGAGACCTTAATACAAGTTGCACTACAAGGATCTAGGATACGTTTGCACTACAATATATTCAAGGATAGATTGATAGAGACCTTAATAAGTACTCAAAGGAAGGATGTAACTTACCGAATTTGGTGTTGACACGTTCAAGGTCTGGCACTCCCTCTCTCGATTCTGCCATCGACTGCCCTTTTATACCCGACTCCACCATGTGTTCGTGGTGGAGTAATGGGAACTTGTTTACAAAAATTTGGTTATCACAACAACAATACACGTGCTCATCACTGCCAATGCACACAGTGGTCGCTGCCATTGGCCAAAATTCAAAAAATGAAAATCAGATATTTATTATCAAATGTGTACATATGAACTCTTAAGAGGTTAAACTTTTTAGAAAACATAATAATCTTGGCTTCATTGCAACGGGACACTTCGAAAATAGCATCAAAAAAGAGAGAATGTAGTTAGGTGCTTTTTTCAGTGGGATCAGTGAAAAAGTGGAGTAAAAATAGATCTGTATTACAATATTAAATACATTTTAAAATGACAAATCTTAGTATAATTATTGAAAAGCAAGGTATTGACTTATTTTTAGTGCAGTAATTTGTGTGTTTAGTAGTTGTGTATAATATAGACGATGTGAGTGTTCTGAGTTGCCTTTGAGATTAATTTTGAAAATAAAATTGGATTTCAGTTAAAGTTTTAATTGTTTTCCCCCCTGAATCCTCCAATGTGATTTTTTTCACGCCATTAGTAATGGTCCTAAGATTTAAGAAGTGCTAATTTAACTTTCAGATTTTGTCAGATTTGTATGTTATGCCCAATATACTGAAGTGACTTCGCTCCAATTTTGTCAGTTCTATGGTGCTAGTGACATAGAATATGTTTTTGTTGTTTGGGATTGATAAGGATATAATTGAGGGGTGTTCAATAATGTTGCCTGCATTGTCTTCTGGGTATAATATTAATGTCCAAAAATTTAAGGCCTTTGCACTGAAAACGGCTAAAGAGTTAACAAATAGATATCCATGGCACTATCTTTCACCCACAGCTAATAAAATTTTAATACAGGGTTGCCCATATTCGACGGACCCATCTGGCAACGCCATAATTTTTGACAGAGATGTCACATCGCTTAATGACATACCGCGTTTGAAGCGTCAGTCCAAGCAGATTTTTACCATGAACCAATACACGACACGCGAGCGCTCTGAAATAGTTGGAATTTACAAGAAGTCAATTGTGAAAACTCAACGTGCTTTTAAAACATTAAAAAATGTGAGAAGTGCGCCTTCTAAGAACACCATTAAGCGTTTATACGAAAAATTTTCGACTGGTAAGGCTCTTTCTAATCCGAAGAGGCAATATAAAAGTCGACCAAGGCGATCGGCCGAGAATATCGCTGCCGTACGAGCCAGTGTTGAGAGGACCCCAAGAATATACCAAAAACGCCGTTCTTAGCAGTTGGACATGGCTCGGTCTACTTTACAACGGATTATTCGCATTGATTTGCATTTGTTCCCGTACAAAATTCAATTGACGCAAAGAACCTTGCCTGCGGACAAGCCTCGTCGATTGGAATGGGCCCAAAGGTCCGTTGAATATGGGCAACCCAGGATTTGTTTAAAAAATACTTCTATTCTTGAAGGTACCTTTACAGAGGGACTCTACCTGAAGGCGGACCGTTCCAAATAATTTTCAAAAAGACTATTTTTTAGCTCTTTAGAACGCAAAATGTCAAATAACAGAACAATCTAGTGTAAAATGTGACAAAAATTGGGCAAATAACCCTTATTCGGGAGGTACGTTATAAGGGGACCATGCCAAAACATGCATCGACCATATCCATTTTATCACATTTTTAATTTTTATCCCATCAATGTACCATAACCAAAGAATCATATTGATATCTGCACTGAAAGTATTTTTGGCCGCTGTTCCCATACGACCTCGACCACTGTGCAATGGTAGTGATGAGTGTTGCTGTGTATTGTTGTGATAACGGTTCACCTTTATTGAGTGTGGTTGCTCGCAAGAATTTGGCTAGGCTAATTGGAATTTATGATAGCGTTTTGTGTGGGCAAAAATGACGAAAGATATTTGCCGTCACAGTAGGTCTATGTCGTATAGACCCCAATATAACGGCTATATTCGATATTTTTAAGATTTTAAAAGAACTTTAACGAGTTTATTTTTTGAAAATTTTTAAATTCGTTCCAAATGGTGGAGGTTATTCAAAGTTCGGCCCTGCTGCTTTTTAACTTGTTTAACTTGTCATGAAGATTATGTACTTACATTTACCGCATTCTTTAGTTTAGTTTAGAGAGGTTGTTAAGAAATTTTGGATTTTCATTTTCAACCCGCTACATTTAATGTACAGCTTTATTCATTTTTATTACTATTATCTGAATGTTTATTTATTTTTTTTTCTAACATTCTGTACTTGCATATTAAAAATTATACTATTGCTTACATTTTAATAATGCATTTGGCATGTGAAACTTTTGAATGTAAATGTATCATTTGGCATTTTTGTACATACTAAATAACCCCTAATGTAACATAAACTTATACATCATAGTTAAATCACAAAAAGTCCCCTGCACTTCATCTTGCAAATTATTTCGCCTATATTTTTGCACGCACTTTTTCATCCTGCTTATATAAAACATATTACTGTAATACATTGCACTGTATCTATATTTTTGTGAGTGTTGTGTTAATTTTGTACAATCCAAAAATCAAGAAAAAAACACATAAAAACATGGTCAAAACAATATTTTAGGCAATCCCAAACTCGATGAGGCCCGAAGAAAACGTGAGGAAAAGAAACTACAACGTCAACGTGAACTGGAGGCGAGACGTGCTCAACGCAACAGTGGTCCAATGAAATTGGGCGCTAAAAAGCTTTAAAATACCGAGGACGACGACAGCACTGCTCCATTGCCGAAGCAAATGCAAAATACACACTTGACTGGAACTTTGTTTCGAAGGTTACTTTTATTTATTTAATTTCTCACAAGTTACAATTAAATAGTATTCCAGTTTTATTTGCATTTTGTTTAAATTTGTTCTTTCCGTTCTATAATTGCGTGTGTGTAAACAAACTAAACTATTAATATTATATATAACAATTATATAAATAATTCAATTTGTTTTCATTTTTGATTTTTTTTAGTTTAAGATTTCAAAAGCAAAAATTGAAATAACGATTTTTAGACTAATTATGCAATATATAATAGATAAATAAAAAAATAATTAAACAAATCACAACAACTGCATGCCCTATATATAAAAGAAAAAGAAAATTATACATATTATTAGAAATTTAAAAATACTTTAAGCATTCAATGCAATTTAATTATTTGAAAAAGTTCATCAACAAGGCAACCATTGTAAGAATTTATTGCTAATTTTTTTTTTCGATTTATCCCATACAACAGTATGTTTTTTTACAATACCAAACAAAACGAAAAATTGCCAAAAAAAAAACACAATATTTTAAGGCATGACTCAAATCTAAAACCAAGAAATGCTGAAAATTGTATTAAAAATATTGAAATTGTATAATAGTATAGATATTCCAACTAAGTTTTAAATTTTTTTTGTGTGAAAAATTTAGCCTCCCTAAAATAAAGAATCTTATAAATATATTGTTTTTTTTTTAAATTTTATTATATATTTTTTTACATGAATTAAATTGTAATTCTATCGATTACACTGTGTAAAACTAATTTTTTTTGTAGTAGCAAATATTGAGAAATTTGTTTACTTGTTGATGCATTCTTTTACTATGTTTTATCTACAGAAGTCAAAAGCCATAATTTTTAATTTTGTTTTTTAAATTATTGAATGAAAGCAAAAAATGTCGGAAATAACATCAAATTTTAGAATACGTTTAGATTTGTTCGAATTGGTCACCTTTCGCACGAATTATGGCCTTCAAATGGCCAATGAAACAGTCACATGCTGCCCGAATGTTGCTCTGCGGTATTTTGGCCCATATCCGGCGAAGCGCTTGATTATTGAGCGGATCGAAACTTTAGTATTTTTTAGTGCCAACCTTGCATTCGAAATACTCCAGACACAATAGTCCAACGGATTGGTATCCGGAGATTTTGTGGCCATTGTGCGCTGGAAATGAAGCGAGGAACCTCATTTTGTAACCATTTTTGGGTGGCGCACGCTGTCTGCGGCCAAAATGTTTGCGTGTCCAAGGCTTTAATACACCCTCCAGAATATATTCGAGATAATATTCGGCATTTATTCTGATACCACGGTCGACTAATACGAGTGTAGGGCGACAATCGGCTGTTATAGCTGCCCACACCATCACCATGGCCCGCGCTTGAGTTCTGCTGGACAACGAATGTTTTCTCATCGGATAAAACCAAATTCGGCAGTTTACCACATTCGGCCAAGCGAAGCAACTCTTTAGCTCTTTTGTATCTATTTTATTCCTGTTGCGGTGTAAATTTTTGCACTTTTTAGAATTTCAATGGCTCAGTTTTCAATATTTGCCGAATGGAACATTGCGGTATGTTCAGCTCACGACCCATTTTTCGGCCACTGCGACGTGGGTTTCGGTCAAGTAGCTTCTTTACTTTTCGAACCATTTCTGCTGATGTTGCTGTTTTCTTCCGTCTTGACTCGGACTATGCTACCAGTATCACGGTAACGAGCGATGGTACGAGACACAAAAGATCTATTCTATGCGTGTTGTAATCACGCAAGAGTCAGAACGAATTAAGATAGGAAGCTATCACTTTGCACAGATCAGTCTTTTGTCTGCGGGCAGATCAAGTTCGAAGATGGACTATATCGGTCCACAATATCGTATAGACCCAATTAACGTTAACCTCCGATATTCGTTATTTTGATAATTTTAGCCACAATGTAATTGGAATTCTATACGAAGAGTTCTTTGTAAGTACTTCAACCCCTGGAAGAGAATTGCCTATATAGGTCCACGATATCGTATATCCACCCTATATGGGTACCTTACGTTATTCGGTATTTTGTTGATTTTAGGGACATTGTTTACCGGAATTGCCTCAAAATTCGCATTTAAAGCTCTTAATGGGTACTACTACCCATGACGAAAATTTTCTATGTAGGTCCTCGTCTTCATATAGTCCACACATAACGTCACCTCCCTTTATTCGGTATGTTGATGATATTGGCGATATTATTCACCGGAATTGTTTCAAATTTCATATTTAAAGTTTGCTTTTACTTTTGCAGAACCACGTCTTCGTATAGGCCCCATATAACGGATTTCCTTTCAGTAGTATTTTTCAAAGGAATGTTTTGGAAATTTTTCAAGTTCCGTCAAAATGGTGGATGGTAATAATAAATAGGTGCTTTTTGAATTGTTCTTAAATAATTAAGATTAAAAAATATTATTAAATCTCGCCTTCGATGTCAATGCATACTGCTAGTGTATACATATTTTTATCAAATGTTCTTTGTTTACAAATGTCGCTTTATTTCCAATATTAAGAATTATTAGGTCATTATTATTTAGATAATCTAGTAGGGACTGGTCCCTTTTATTAGTGTTAGTACTACTCCACGCAATGTGGTGAGAGTTACCTGTTTGTTTTGTTTTGCTCAAAAACCGCTGCAATTCCGACGTAGGTGGTAATGTCGGCGCGTCGAACGGTAGGTATACTGACGCTAGGTATATGTTGTCGTTCCCCTGCCTCAATACTGTTGCGTCCGATGATGATAATTCTGGGGAGAAAAGAAAACATAAGTTTTTGTGACAAATTAGACAAGTTCTTGGTCGAGACCCTGTATTGGCATAGAACAGTTGGTAATTAATATGGTGTAGTCCAATGTGTATCTTACCTGTATTTATTAGTTTTTATACCCTCCACCTTGGAAAGGAGGGTATATTAACTTTGTCATTCCGTTTGTAACATCTTTAAATATTCGTCGTAGACCCCATAAAGTATATATATTCATAATCAGCATGAAATTCTAAATCGATTTAACGGTGTCCGTCTGTCTGTCTGTTGAAATCACGATACAGCCCACATTGTTTGACGAAGAGCCCCAAAATTTAGCAGAGCAATTTTTGTTGTGTCTAGTATGGTTGATATTGAAAATGAGCTATATCGGTCCACGTTCTGGTATAGTCCCCATATAACGGTACCTCCCGATATTCGGTATTTTGATTATTTTTGCCACATTTTTTCACGGATTTGTCTGAGAATTGGTATTTTTTGGTCATAATGGGTTCCAGCTCTGGTGGCGAAACATTGCATGTATGGGTCCATGATTTGGTATAGCCCCCATATAACGGTACCTCCCGATATTCGGTATTTTGATGGTTTTTGCTACATTTTTTCACTGATTTGTTTAAGAATTGGTATTTGTGGGTCATAATGGGTCCTAGTTCGTGTGGCGAAACATTGTATGTATAGATCCACGTTTTGATATAGTCCCCATATAACGGTACCTCCCAATATTCGGTATTTTGATGATTTTTGACACATTTTTTCAAGAATTGCTCTGAAAATTGGTAGTTGAAGATCATAACGGGTCCCAGTTCGGGTGGCGAGTCATTGTAATTATAGGTCCACGTTTTGGTATAGCCCCCATATAACGGTACCTCCCGATATTCGGTATTTCGATGGTTTTTGCCACATTTCTTCACGGATTTGTCTGAAAATTGGTATTTGTAGGACATAATGGGTTCTACCTCCTTTGGCGAAACATTGCATGTGTAGGTCCATGATTTGATATAGTCCCCATATAACGGTATCTCCCGATATTCGGAATTTTAATGGTTTTTGCCACATTTCATCTAATGTTTCCTTTACCCGAAAGGTGGAGGGTATTAAAAGTTTGGCCTGGCCGAACTTAATGTTTTTTACTTGTTATTATTGATCTGGATAATCATTGGTCCTCCAGTAGACGGGCTTCTTGAGAGTCGGTAATTTTGTCATCGACTCCCTGTTTCGTGTTGCTTGGGGGGTCTTCTTTCTCCTCCTCGCTGTCACTCTAGGTTTCCTCGTCTCCGAGTCTCACCTTATTGTTTATGAATCTGAAACTATAGACATAAACAACATTTATTGAAGCTACATGGTAGAAAAAATAGTTACAGAGGTCGTGAGAAAATTTATGTAAAGACTTGTTTATAGTTTTTAGTTTATTTTTTTTTAATTGCTGGCACGTCGTTCATCAAAAGCGTTCGGTCTATAAAGAATATAAAATGATTTTTATGCGAAATTTGCCGAGTATTCCGTTTAAAAACTCGACTTTTTGTGGAAAAAGATAAATAAGTATTCGCAACATAATAACGGGCCACAGTCATTTCAATTGTTTGTTCCCGGATTTTGACGAAAAAAGTTATTAAAATAGCCTATCCAAAATTCTGTAACTTTTGAACTTAGATAGAAATTTGCAAAACTTTCTTAAACGCTAAAATCGATTATTCAAGGCCAAGGTCAAGTCGATTTCTTTATTAAATATTTTATTTATTAAATTCTTAAAATAAATTTTAAATTGTATGGTCATTTATCTTATTTAATTTACTTCTACAATACAAAAATTAAGTAAAGTTTATAATAACTCAATCTTAGGTCAGATATTTACATTTACATTTTAAATTTATTTTTTAAAGAATTTTTCTTGGAGTTGGATTTCAAAATTTAGAAATTTCCTATTAGCTGAAGTTTTAATGAAAATTCTTATAAGTTGTTTCCTTTGGCTTAGTTTTCAAAAAAATGTAATTTAAAAAACCAACAAACTTGTACAAAGTTGTCAAAAAAACCAAAAAAAAAAAGAAATATTTTTCCAATAAAATCCTCAAACAACAGCTAAAAACTAATAGTTAATAATTACTACAACAACAAAAATATCAATAAATATTTTTATAGAAAAATAAAATCAGAAAAAATAATAGAAATTAAAACTCAAAACCTCTTTTTCAAAAAAAAAAAATAAATAAATAAACGTTGTTGTCATCAGAATAATGAATAAATTTAACTCAAAACTTGTAAAGCTTTTTTGTATAAACAAATCCAAAACTATATTAAATAAGCCAAACTCTAGACATAAGAAGAGCACCATTTCGCAATAAGTTGCCTTAATTTCGCCCCCTTCTCCCTCACTATTTTCAAAAACCTAATTGTCAATGCCATATGTTTGTTTATAATTTCAAACAATTTTTAATGATCTCCAATGCACCAAAAAAAAAAGGAAAAAAATAGAAATGAATACAAAACGATCTTTTTAAATAATAGAATTAAATACATTTAAAATATTCCATTTTTATTAAACTATACAACAATTTCATTACATAAATAAGCATTACATTGTATGTGTGTGTGTGTATGTTAACATAACAAATGAGCTGAAAAGTCAGTGAGAGCGAGCAATAGAACCTGACTTCTGAGACACATATGCGCGCCATTCTTTTAAGGTTTAGTGGATGAAAAAAAGACGTGGGCCAGTATAAGTTAATGTTTTAATAAATTGTATTTTAGGCTCCATTTGGGGACCACTGAAACTCGTGATAGCACCCAAACAGATACAGATGTTGTTGTAGCAGTAGTACATGTAAGTGTTGGCGTTCTGCTAATCTGGTTCCTGCTCCAGGTTTAGAAATTCGGCTACTTTAATGGGCTGTAGCCAGAGAT